ATATAATTATTGATTATTTGATTAATTTATATTTTGCCAACTATTAATTTTAATCTCAACCTCAATTTTAATTGAAAAAAATTCAAAGATTTTCAGAAGAAATTTGTAAATTCTAATTGATTGTAGATTCTTTTAAGTTTTAGTTTTCTCTCTAAATTAAGATTAGATGAAGGAAAGATGACTAAATCATTCTAATTTAAATATAATAAGAATTGTCTGATTTAGTTTAATAATTTGAATAAAAATTTAATAGTTTTAATTTGAATGTGATAAAATAGAAAATAATGAATAATAGCAAATTTTTAGAATAACACTTGTCGTTGTAAAATGATACATTGATTATTTAATTCATGAGTATAACCAACTATGAATTTCTTTGGCTTAACTTCTAATATTTGCACTAAGAATCAGATCAACAGGAATTAAAACCAAAATCTATCTTAATGAATTCATCCGTTTTTAAGCCAAATAAACCCATAAAATAGATGTTAGAGAATAAATAAAAAAGAGACTATGGATTAAAATAATAATATACCTAATTCCTAATCCTAAATAATATGCTGAAATAATAGACATAATCTAATTAGCTATATATTAGTTTTCTTCTTAAAGTAGGATCAGAAATATTCTCATTACTTAGAGTATATCAGTAGAATAAGATATTAAAAAAGTATTAAATTACTTTGTATTAACTTCTTAATAATTCTCAGTTAAATTAGGATTATATTGTAAATTTGTTATTTCGTAGTTGAAATCTTAATTTAAAAATTTAATGAAGCCTGCTACAAATCCCAAAGCTCCATTTTTAGTAATATCACTATAATCATCTATGCTATAAAATAATATAAATAATTACTCATAATACTCTAATTCAATTTAACTTGGTTCGCACATTGCTAAAACAGAGAAATTACTTGATAAACATAGATCATTATTTAATAAATCATCAAACCTACTTTTTTCATTATTTTAATTAGCATTTTCTAACACAACAGTGGCCATATTATTTATGATAGGAGATAAATTATTTTTAAGATATATTATTAATTCTAAGATATATGTTTGATTGATATAATTGAGATTATTATTAGGTAGCAGATTTTCAGTTTTGATTATACCAGCCAATATAACAGTAGCATCCATATTATGTCTAAACTACACCATGCTTAATGTAACCTCTAATGAAGGTTAAAAGTCGTTATTATTTTACATATGAATCAAGTATCCTGTCATTAAATATAATGGCCAAGTCAAAGCTAATAAAAATGTCAAAATAACATTAACTCTATTTATATAGTATGTCTTTTAGATTCTAGAGTATAAAGCTGTAGTAGATTTGTAATTATTTAGTTTTTCAGATTCCTTTTAACTTATTAGAATGGCTTTTTAAGCTTTCTTTTTCTCTGAATATTTGAACATTAAATCAGAAAAATTAGTCATTTTCCATTAATTGTTACTTTCTGTTTCTATATAATATTTAATCACAGTTAATTTAGATATCTAATCAAATGCTTAAATCTCATTCAATCTTGTAATCAAAAATAATATATGTTTAGTTATTTAATCTACAAATAGCCAGATTTTTAATTATATTCCAACTATGAATAATATTACACAAATCTCAGCAAGCAATATTTATAAAAAATCTCCTTTAACTTCATTTTATGTTTCTAAAGTTACTTAAGTAATCTAATCAATCAATTTATCATGAAACTCCATCATGAGCACTAAGTTTTATCTAATAAAGCCATGTGTATATAAATCTGAATAATCACAATTCTTAGAACATTTTAAATTTCTTCTATATAGATCTTCAGCAAGCTCAAAATAAATAGAGTAAAATTCATGTAAAGTTGTATTTAATGTTATTCTTTGATTATTTTGAACAATTTTACATGAAAATGTTGTTATATCTAAAGCCTTAGCCAAAATTGGTACATGAACTATATGATCAAACATAATTTCTCTACCATATTCATACATATTAAAAAGTTGTTCTTCAATTCTATTTTCTTAAAAAGGACTAAAATCTATTATATTCAAATAATGAAGCATTTAACACATTTACTAGAACAATGCACCAAAATAAAAATAGTTAATATTTAATGGTTTTCTGACATTATTGATTTGATCAATTTAAGTTAATAAATTATACTCAATTTAATCAACATTAATAACGTTAATAACTAAAACACTGCAACAGATTAATACCAGTAGAAATGATATTTTCTTTAATGGATTAATCAAATTTTTATTATCATAAAGTTACTATACAATAGTAAGAGCCTCTTTTGATGTTGAACTAGTTGAAGTTCTTGATGGATTTGATTAAAAATCACCATAATTATCTTTTTGTTTTCGTAATTATTGCTTTTAGAATTTTTCTAAAATGTTTGACTTCTTTTTTTCGCTTTGACTATTGGATTAAACTACATCAACCTAATCTTCTTAGTCATAAATAATGTTTTTTTATATATATTCTATTTGTTCTTACTCTTACTATTGTCTCTAATTTTCAATAAAGTTCATTTCATTCTCAATATCGTTGACTTCTTCTAATATTTTTTTATCAAATAATTTTGGTTAGATATATTGGGGTTATAAGGAAAATTGAGATTATAGAAATAAATTTGAGTTGCACCTTCTTGTATTAGTAGCTAGAGATAATTGACCAACAGTTTACTATTCTTATTCATATGCTCTGTCAGAAATACCTAATTTTTAAACAATTAATCTTGAATTTGAAATTGATTAAATTTTAGATTAATTTGCACTATTATAGTTGTCTTTAAAATGTGATAAACTTGAATTAAAATATTAAATCTATTTTATGCTTTTCAAACCTTCATCGAACTTTTCTGAAATTTCTGAATTTACGTTACTTGTTTAATAAGATTTACTTTGCAATCCATTATCACTTACTAAATTCACAGATTATATTTAATAATTATCTAAAGTAGTTTAGTTGGTTGTTGGCGCCACTTATGATAGTGTATTCATCCATTTTTTAAATTCCTTTATTGTTAATTAAAAGTATCCAAATTCACCTTTTTTAAATCTTAAGGTTTTATATTATAAACTGTAATGGATTTCAAGTGAATTGTTTTAATAGTTATCATAAGTAAGGGAACGTTTAATTAATTCATTATACTCAGGATGTAATAATATGATTGGATTATCTCTAATCATAATTAAATTTTTTAAATCTTTTGAGAAGTCCTTATCATCATAATTTTCATTTTAAGTATTTTATGAATATTAAGAATACCTAGATTATGTCTAGGATTTCAATGATCTAAAATTAGAATTATCTTATTTCTTTCTAAACTGAGATAATATAATTGATGAATTCTATAAAGATTCTAAATGATTATCAGGAATAATCCATTATGATTTTAGATTATTGAGTTAATAATTTGACGATGAGTTTATTTAAGTTTAGAGTTCTTAAGTTTAATTTATAATTTATGGTATATAAAAGGCAATCAAGGGTGTTCTGATTAATAATTCTGATACTGTAAGTTACTAACGAGAAGTAATAGTTTAATCTTTAAATGCTTCTTCAAAAAATTGTTTAGTAAATCCTAAAATTTTACCATCATTTCCAAATAAAATAGTTTCATTTTTTGATTAAACTTTTGTCATAATCATATTAAGTATAAAATCTTATTAATTATCATAAAAATTATATAAATTTATGTTACATGGTTCCAAATATCCTGATAATAATTCATAAAAGCTAGATTCTCCATGAATCATTAATTTAGAATAACCATTTGTAGTATAATTATCCATTAAATCATCATGTATTTAGGCTAAAAATTTGGGCATCAATTATGTGCAATGTTTAATATGTTTAATGGCTTCATCTTTCTCATTTAAAAATTAGCTTAATTACTTAACATTTATATCTATTAATTCTCCTCTTTTTCTTACTAAACTTGTTTTGACTATTATTATTCTATCTAGAATTAATCTATATAAAAGTAATACTTTCAACTAATTAAACATTGTCTAATGATTCTTCTTCTTTAAATCGCTCACTCTTTAATATATCTTCAATCTGTTTCTCTAGTAAATATGATAAATAAGAGTTTGTATAAATTCCAGAATAAAACATTTATAAAATTCTCATTGTTAAAACATCAGTACATTTTCCATTTTTTATTTTAAAATTTTAAAAATCAAATCTTTATTCAAATAATTATTTGCATTTCAACATCTTTTCAGTTGTTAAAAGTGTATCAGATAATAGATTATTTATATCTTGATAACCATTTATTAATTTTTACCAAAATTAGATTTTGGCATTTAAAGCCTTATTAAGGATTGGAAATAGTTCCTCATTTGAATTAACTGTAGTAAATGCAGACTCAGCATCAAGATTATTTGTATGTTCAATAGAACTCTTTTTTCCATTAATTTATTAAGCTTCTTATTGAAATTATTTAACTCTCTCATACAATAATGTGCATAAATTTCCATATGAAGTTTAATGATATATATCTTCTGTTTTTATAGTTATCAATTTAACTAATCCCTTTAAAGGGGCATTATTAGATATATATTGGCAATATATTAATATATTTTTATTTAAATTAGATTAATCTTTAGTATTAGCCATTTTTCTTAATAAACAACCTGTAATGGATTCAACTTTTTTTGCCATTCTTGGACAGATATGATTATTTGTTATTGTTCTAAGAATTATTGAATGTTTTGAGTTGGAGCCCATTTTAAGACAATTTTCATATATCTAGTTATTATAAAATATTGTAATACTTGGATTGTAGTAAAATTTTCCTAATTTTTTGTTGTTATATAAAATGATAAAACATAATCTTAAATTTAAAGAAGTAATGATACAACTAACAAAGCTATCAAAAGAATATCAAAAAATGATAATTTAATTACAATTCCCATAGAAATGACTGATGAAATGCTTTCTATAATTATGAAGTTTTTTTCATTAATCCATTTAATGGATGAAATGATATATATTAAATATTTAATTAGCAAAAACACAAATCTTAAGAATTGTAATTAATTAGATGATTTTAAAGCTATGATTGAAAGTAAAAGTAAATTTTCGAAGATTTTTTTGGTAATTGATTAATCTAATTTTAAAATATTATTGTCATCCATAAGTGTCTCACAACGAGCAAAGTAAATGTGAATGAGAGACACAATAGTAACGAATATTAAATTGATAATAGAAAAGAAAATGCATAAAGGTTTATTTAAATTTCCATCTGATATTTAATAAAAGGATTCATTAAAAAATATTGTTAGACTAGTATACATAATAGGTATAGTCAGTATTAAAGGATAATTAAACAGAAATTTATGAGTTACGGTTTGAGTAGTTAAATCATGATGGAACATAAATTTGATGATAAAAAGAGGCAATATCAAATTCAAAGCAAAAAAGATGATTACAACAATCCCCAATTAAGATGAGCTGAGAGAATTGATTACAAAAAGATTTTGAATAATTAAAGTTAAAGAACTAAATATATAAAAATAATACTTAGTAAACATTCCAGTTTCTTATTGCAAGTCTTAGATTAGGTATAATTCTTAAATTTTATTTAGTATTGTAAATAAATAATGTAAGGCATTTGATTATTTCTAAGAAGTTGGAGGGTGAATTATTAAGCAAATTAATTTGAATAATTTCTCAATAGATTATAACATCTTATTAATAATACATAGATAAGTAAAAATAAATTAATATAAATAATTCAAAAGTCTGTCCATTCATCATTATTTATAATAAAGTCAGTTGGTCTTCTTCTTCTTCGCCAACAATAGATTAAAGAAATGGTTAGGATTGTTGCTAAGATTGTATAAAGTGCATATTACCATCCTTTTTATGTTTCATAATGGAATTCAATAGATGCAGAATATTAATTATATGAATTTTGACCAGTTAAATTAAATTGGATTATTTTATCTTTAGAAAATAAGGGAACTTCTAAAACAAAAGTAAATGTACAATATTGTAGTTGATAAATATAAGATGAAGTCAAAATTAAGATTTATCCCTTATTTTTATATGAAGATGTTAATGAATAAGATACCAAAAAGTTAGATTATATTTCTGGAATGATATATCCACCTTATACTCTTATAGGAGTATTTCTACTGTATTATGAAATATCTGATAGATCATAAACTAATATTAAAATTTGACCCAAAGAATTTTTATTAGATAATGCTATGAGCAAATTAGAGCCTGAAATTTTAGGTGATGATGATAATTCATATTCAATTGTATTATATGGTGAAATAGTAGAAATAATATCTTAAAATCTGATTTCAGCATCTTTTTGTTAAAAGGTATCATATTAAACATAGAATGAAATCAGGAAAGATAATTATTCATTAGTGGTTATTAAGAGGATAATTTCTTTGAAATCAACTTTTAAAACTTAGAAATATTAAATGTAAAAATCATTAATGTTTTTAAAGTAGATTTTAAAAATATTTAGTGTTTTGAGTTTTCCTTGAAATTAAAGTGTGTAATTACTTTTACTATAATTACCAACAATATAATTAAGATTCTAAAAGTTATCAGTACAAAGATAAAAAACAACAACTAAACAATATGTATTTGTTTATTTAATAATGATTGGTTGGAATTCCCCTGATGTGCAATTAGTTATATTGATATTTTATTATGATAAATAGTTATAATATGCTAATTATCCTTGATTTGATATGTAGAAAATACCATCAGATATGATTGAAAATGGAGTTTCAAATAAAAAGGCTTCTTCAGTTGGTAAAACAATAATTTAATCATTTTATGTGATAGATGTGTTGGTGATAGAAAAGCTTACAATGTAATAATTAGTTGTATTATAACAATAAGAATATAGTGTATCTAAATAAGCGTAAGATTAGAAACAGTTTAAAATATTCTTAAATTGAGTAACAACATTAGTACCAAAGATCATGATTTAATTATAATTTTATAGAATAAATAAATTATTGACTACTGTTACAATAGTATATTATTCAGTATTAAGTACTTAATTAATTTATTGAACTGGATTCTGTAACTCTTTAATATATTCCATATGTCTATTTCCGACTGATTGTAAATCATAATAAAATATTTATCCAATAGTTGATATATTATCGAAGGTAAAAGTATATTTTAAGGGTGAGTCATATGAGATTGATATTATAATATCTGTAATGTAGAAATTTAATTATGGATTAAGGATTGAAAGACTTTAATTATTTGTCAAATACGTAGCATTGTCACCATTAAATTATGACTTAATAGTAGAATTATAAATAGTAGTAGGTAGATAATCTAAAGTGTAAAAGTCAGTATTTCTGATAAATTCAAAAGTAAAAAAAGGTAGAAGACTATATAATGTATTTCCAAATGCTAAGATAGATAAACTATAATAATATTGAGTACTAGTAAAATAAGATCCATTAAATTAGATGGACATATATAATGATGAATGATATGATAATATTGGATTATAAACTAGAATATTATTCTTTCCTTATTTTACATAATAAAATTAGTTATCCGAATAACATACTATATTATTTTAGTAAGATAAACTAATCATACTTTTCTCATAGTAAGCTCTTCTCAAATCATTTGTATTCCAAACATCAAAACAAAGATTTTAGTTACATTTATATGCCATCACTAATTTTTAATTCACTATATTCATCTAATAGATTACATAATCTAAATAATATATACCTTAATAAATCATTTTCAAATTATAATCAATCACAAATACTATAAAACTCTTCTAATTATTTATAAATACTACTGAAGATTGATGTTGTTCATCTAAAACCATTCCAGTAGGATTAAAAATTATCTATTTACCATCAATATCTTTCAATGATTCAGAACTCACTCTAAAATATTCTTTGTTATTTTCATAAGAGTATAATATTAAATTGTCATCATTCAATAAAATGTAACTATTATAAGTCAACAAAAAATCATTGAAATGAAATGTTTCAACACTTGAATTCTATAATACTATAGGAGTATTTGCAGATTATGTTACATAATAAAAAAGTAATGTATTAGAATCAATATTTATTCCAATTATCAAAATAATTTCTTAACCTCTAAATTAATAAGCTAATTTAACATCTTTCACAATTTTGTGCTCCTCAATATCTAAATCTATTACTACATTTTTGAATTCTTATAATTCTAATTCTATTGTGAATATTGTCATACTTTTATTAAATATACCAACTATATATGTAGTTCTTATGTATAACATTTTCATCATCGAAAATTCTTAGTTAAATTCATATACTTTTTATAAAGTTATATTCTTAAAACTTCCTAAATTATCATTATCATAACTATATTCAAACCAAAGCAAAGGTCCATAAATGTTTTTTATTGATTGTACAAATTTCTTTTACTACAATGAGTAATAATTCTCAATTTAACCCCGATATATATCATATATACCAAATTCATTTGAATTTAATATTTAAACTTTTAACTTAACTAAACAGACATCTAATCCATAATTATCAAATGCCAAAACATAAAATTCTTATTTTTTTTGATCAGCATCTTAAAAATTTCCACTTAATTAAGGAATATTTATATAATAAACAGTAACATATGTATTAAAGATAAATAATTTATTATCAGCTTAATTAAAATATAATTAACTACCAATTTATCTAATTTTTCTTAGTAGTTTTTTTGTTTCTTTTGATATTATAATTATAGAACTATTTGTTTATAAAATTAAAAACTAGTCATTTGTATAAAATTCTTAAACCTTTGTATTTTCCTCTATACTGTACAACAATAAATTCTATTGATATAATCTCTAATCTTATGGATCAGCGCATACTAATATTGAATATATCTATTAATCACTCACCAAATATAATTAATCACATTCTGAATAAATCTTTATAGATTAATAAATTTTTATTGAATATGAAGGAGGATTTATTATAAAAAAACTTTATACTTAAAATTTCTCATCCTGTGTTATTTAAAGTAGAATTATGAATTAATTATTTAAAACATAAAATGTATTAACTTCCATACCTTTAATTGAAATTTCTACATCCTAAAATGAAGATATCCATGATGAAACATTAACTAATTCCTTATTTTAAGTTTTTAATAGTGTTAAAATTGAATACTCTTCATAATATTGTGCATATATAGTATAATTTCTAGAATAAGATCTGAATGAATAAATATTTGCTTTTAATGGAAAATATGTCTATACTTTAAAAACTTATTCTAAATTCAATCCTTCTAACTAATACATTAAAAGCTCATTATTTTTATAACAATCTAGAAGAAATTTAACATTAAATGTAAATATGATATTAATACAATAAAGTTCTGAACTTATTGGCACAATTTATACAGTGTTAAAAGATTACTCTAACCAATTGTAAATATTTAATGTATTATTTTGAGAAAGACCGACAAAATGAGTCTTATTGCTCGCTATTGATCTAAATATATATCCTATAGATATGACTATTTTTACCTGTTTTATATGGTTTTCCAATCATATTCATTGTATTCCACATTGTGACTTTTTTTGGACAATTCTGGCATTCATAAATCAAGTTATCTCCTTCAAATAACTCATACATAAGCAAATTTTAATATTCTTCTTATGTTGTAAAGATGTTTCTTTCTTTTTGAATAATTTGACAGCTAAATACAACTTAAATCATTAGTGTTAAAAGCATTTTCGTATTTAATCTAACAATAAGCCAATTATAAATTAATATAATACATAATCAATCACATTATTATTATTCAATATGTATTTCTCTCAGAAATTTGTAAATTATATTGAATTTTTTGAATTTTTTATGACTTTATTCCACATTTTTTTTTTAAGAAAATTTGATAATTAGAAAATACTAATTTACTAAAATTATCTTTTGAATCCTACTTATAATATATAATTTTAACTTTTGAATAAAAAAAATACATAGTTCTTTTAAATATATCAAAAATAAATTATTATGTGATAATAAATATGATTTTATTAATATATAGTAAAAAATCAAATGAAAAAAACAATTTAAAAAACTAAAAACTTTCACTACCTATTACACTATGATCAAGCCAACTTGAGTGAATCTCTTTTACAATTCATCCACTTCTTATATTTTGTACAACTTTTTAACTTAGGAAAAAATTTTCAACCGAATTCAGAAATTGTGTAAATAATTCCTATATTAATTTTAGAACTATATATTCTCTTTTGAAAGGTATAAATATTTTTAACTTGATTTCAAAGAAATATTTTACACATATTCATTTTTTATTACTCTTTTATAATTTATTTTTAGCAATAAGCATACTTACTGTCGTTTTGTTAAATATTAAACATAATTCAAAGAATTGGATATTATTATTGATTACTATTAATGTCACCTTAAACATTTACCCTTATGTATTTTTCATTCCTAATCTATGGTTAAATATTCAATAATGTTTTACCTAAAGTATCTTTTATTTCTTCATTTCATTAATAAACATAATAGTTACACTTTTAATTACTTTTATGGTAATCTATTTTTAAAGAGGAGATTGTTTAACATAGAATGAGAACATTACAAATACAATAATTTTGGCAAGAATCTTACTTAAACTTGTTGAATTTATAACTATTTACTTATCATTTTATAATGATACAATTTCATTTATCTTTGAATTAATAATTTTAGTTTGCATAATCATATTGAATCTATTTAAGCTAATATCAATTTCAACTAATAAAATTTAACTCAGTATATTATTTTTATTGTTCAATTTTTCATTAATTGCAGATTTAAGAATGATGGATTATTTAATAATAAGTATATTAATTTTATCCTTACAATCATAGATTTAATTTAAAGCATAATAATAAGTTCTTTTTAGATCAAATAACATAATTAGTTGTTAACTAGCAGAAAAAATATATAAAAAATGCTTATTTGACAAATAATCTAGAATTCAATTATTGATTTTTTAAAATAATCATAGTTGTACAAATTGTAAGACTTTTTATGATATAATTGAATGTATTTTGAAAAAAACTTGTAAAAATGAAAGAGATAAAATAATATATGCAAATTTTATTTCTAGAAAATGGCCATTTAAAGCTTTAGTGGAATTACTGAAGGAATAAAATGAAGATTTTTATTTTTAGTCAGCAATTTAACATTTTAAAAAATAAATGAATTTAATTTTGATATTTCAAATGACATTAGGACATCATATTAAACCTAATTTGAATGTGAAAATGTAAAAAATTAATTTATATCTTTGATTTTATTTTTGATAAAATTTTGGAATTAAACTATCGTAAATTAAGTTGGAATTAAATAATTCTATTAACAAGTTTAATAAGTTGGGAAAAAGATAGATTAAATTAGTTAGAATATTGAGAAAATTTATGATTTAAAGAATTGTAAATTAAAAGGGAATTAATTGAGTGATGTTATTACTTTAAGATTATTATAAGTTTATTATTGTGTTGCTAAGGTAGATCTAATTAAAGTAATTTATTTTAATAAAATGTTAGGCATAATCAATAGAATATATAATTAATGATTTATTTAGAAATGACAAATTTAGATAATTTAATACAATTGATAATAATTAATTAGCTACTAGTAAATATTGTGCTATCATTAGATAGATCTATGCTTTTAACAACCAGTCTCATTTACAATAATAATAGATTGATCAAACCAAATTATTAACAGATGAGCTTATTTCTTAATGTTTCTATTGAAGATGCTAATTTTATCAAAAATAGTTTTTAAATAATGCCACTATTCTTATCTAATGTACATGATTAGTTAATAGAAAATTTTATTCAGAAAGAATAATCTAGATTATGTTAATAAGGATAATAAACATTTATTTAAAATCTGTAAGGATATATTGTACCTTGTTATATTCATATAATTCCATTATAAGGACAAAATGATTATTTTATAAATACTATTTTAACAAAGGATTTAAGTTAAAATGATCATATTGTATTTGGTATGAATGGAAAGCTCTATGGTATAACATAAAACTTTTTTGAATTTTCTCATTTATCAATCTAATAAGAGAATTCAACAAATAAACTTGTTATTAATGATTTAATTGAAAAAGGTTCTCTAGTTTAATATTATATTGAAAACATCTTATATTCAATTTAACTATTAAAATAATAAATAGAGAAAAATTAAAATTATGTTATTTAAGAAGTTTAATCTTAATGGTAATATCCATAGAATCATTTGAATTGTCTTATCAATACAAATTAATTAATCAAATAGGATTACAATATATCAATTAATCATATTTCTTAGAAAACTAATTAATAAACTTTTAAGCAAACTGAAAAGTCTGTTTAAATATCTGAGTTTGATGAATCAGGATTATCAAATAAAGAATTAATTTTTGATGGAGTTGAATGGTCTATTTTAAATTAAAATTATCATAATTCAATTAAATAAATGTTAGATTAATTTAGTTAGAAACAAAATACAAATCAAATTTGTTTGATTATAAAATATTCTTTAACTTTTAAAAAGATTTAAATAGGAGAATAATCTTTAGGATATTTTGTTATGGAATTGAAAAATTACCGTTAAGAATTTACTTAAAAAACAACTTGTTAATATATAAATATTAATAAAACTAAAAAACATGAATCTAGTCCTAAAAATATTTCTACTTATAGCTTTCCTTTAAGCGAAGGTAACGAAATAAATTCTGAAAGACCTGTATTTGATGATGATTTAGATAATCAAATAAATTAGATTAATTTAAAAAATCATTAATTATATCTAAAAAAATTAGAAATAGATAAATAGAAATTAATTTATAATGAAAATTAAATATCTTCTATTAATGTTACCAGATAAAAATTTTTATCTTATGATTTTGAAAATACATCAAGATTATTAAAGATACAAACTGATCGATAGCCTAAGAAATAATTGTTGACAACTAGAATAGAACTTTAAAGTATTAACATATAATAAGATGATGACATTTTGTAAGAAGTAGAAAAAGAGTTTGATGAAATAGCTTTCGAAAGAAATATGATATAAAATTAAGAATAAAATGAGGACAATTTTGATGTTTGGAAGGATTAAACTCTTAAAGATTGTATCTAAATATAGAAAAAAAAAATTATTAATGAATAATTAAATAATTAAACTTTTACAAAATAAATAAATACTTTAAAAGATGCATTCAAATATCTTGAAAAAATTAACAATTACAATTTTAATCTCAAACCTTTAAAAAAATTTAAGTACTTTTAATTTTTTGTTATAATCCTACTCATAATAAATGTTGTTTTGGATTCTTTAAAAGCATATAATCAATTATTAGAAAATGAAAAATTTATAAATTAAGCATATGATCAGGTTAAATTTCATAGAATATGTTCAATTAAATTGAATTTACTAATAATAAAATTATTAGGAGACTTTTAAATTATTAATAAAAATTAAATTATATTCTAGATGTCAGAAAAATAATCCTAAATTATTTTTAATTATCACACTTATGATGAATAATATAAATTAATCAATACTTATCAATCAAAAAAATAAGTAAATGATAATTATATTAACATTTTATTGTAATAATTCAATGATATTTTGAGAAAAAGTTAGGATAAAACAATTTTATAACCATTTTAATTTACTAAGGATACTTAATACATATTCGATTAGATTTTTAATATTGCTATGGAGGATTTAAATAATTTCAAAGATTAATAGGTTGATTATATTTCAGCCATAATTTTTATTATTCTATATACTCTTTTAATAATCTTTTAAATCAAATTTTTATATTCAAAGAAAAAGATTATCATCAAATTACTAAAATTTGCCCATCAAACAAGTATAAGCAAAATATAAAATTAAATAGCAAGACTTTCAACAATTAAAGATACTTTTGAAAGTAATAATTAAAAAAATTGGAAATTGACTTCTTATGTATAAATAATCTCTGAAGAAGTTTAACATGAAAAAATTTAAAGAAAACAAAATTGTGATTTAGAAGGAAGTATTGATAATAAATACATTTACTCTAATGTAATTGTGATATTTTTCTTGTTTTTGTTTGTAGCAATGAAATTATTACTTTAAGAAATTTATTATAAAAGGGAGTATTTGTGTATATAGAACTAATTTTTAAAACTAAATATTCTGATTGATCATAGTCTTATCTATGGTAGTCTTATGAAAACATTTTAAGTTATCAAAATAGCTAATTCTTTAGATGCTTCGATAATCGAGAATTTCAATTAATCAATATATATGTAAACAAATATTACTGATGATTTAATTGATAAATTAAATAGATTGTAAGAAATTAATTTACTTAATTCTTTAATTAACAATTAGTGTGAATATTATCCAAATATGATTGAATATTGTAAGAGTAGTATATATCCATATAATGAGATGTAATAATTGATAGAAAGGGGAATAATAAGTATAACAAATAATATTGTAAATGTAAGAAATACTGAATTCAATTATGAATTAACAACGAAATAGTTTTAGAAAGTGTCTAATGAATTATTAGAATACATAAACAGCTAATCTTTTATAAATACATTTTTAGTTTACTTCTCAGAAAGTATAAACACCTTAGATAAAGAAATAGAAAAAATAATATAGGTTGGACAAGATTAATTTCGCAATTATATATTTATGATAGAGTTTTATGAGATTGGTGTGGGAGTTAGGTAATAAATTTATTTAAAACTATTTTAGTATGAGTTTGATTTATTTGTTGTTTGGATATTTAATTTAAATTTATCATAGAGATGATTTTAAAATCATAATACTTTTTTTAAGAACAATTCCAAATGAATAAATGTAATAAAAAAACATTTTACATTAAATAAAGAATATAGTAGAAGAGAAATGAAATGAAATATAATTTTATATTTTATATATTGAAATTAAAACTAAAAACTTTATTTTTTGTCATTTTAAAACAACTTTTTCTAATACTTTGATATTGGGGGTAAATTTAGAAATATCATTTTGAGCAATTTTAGCAAGTTTTCTTAATTTCCATCCTTTTTTGATGGTATTAAAATAGAAAGTATATAGAGATGATTCAGGAAATAACCTTTTTTTTCCAAAGTATTTTTAAGCTCTGGTATATCTATTAGAGTAATTAAAATATAAAAATATATACCTTTTAATAACAGTATCATAATTATTTAAAGGTTAATAATATTAAAGGATGGTCATTTTATCAAAATTATAATAGAATATGGACATATTAAGTGCGGAATTAGTAATATTATTTTGCATAAAATAATCTCCAGTACGATTTCTAATTTAATTGGTATTTTTTTTAGCTGGTTCTCTTTAATGTTAAAATTTAACTTCTAAATCAGAATGCTTTATAATATTAGATTAATTTTTTCGAGAGAGTTTTAAATTTTCTTCATTTGATTCTGTTTTTGAGATCTGTCTTTAAAGTGATGTTTTAGATTTCATTTTTTCATCTGTTTTCAAAAAAGTGTGTTATTTTTGAATGATCAACTAGTCTTGATTTTCAGATGAATTGCTTGAATCACTTAATTACTCAACATTCCAGGAAACTAACAATATATTTTAAATTTATACTTTCTATGCTTTTGTGCACTCCAAATCCTGCAGTTGAAGCAGTTTATCCTCTACCATAAGCTTAATTATTTTTATCTTCTTCATTAAGTTCTATTTATTGAGATTATTTTTAACTTACTTTACTTAATGTTCTTGATTGACTTCTAAATTAATTAACAGATGAATAACGATCTAAAATATTAATAAGATATATACTTTCGTTATCATATGCATCATGCATTAAGTAAATATGTGAATCACCATCTTCTAAGTCAATTCTCCCTTTTTCTTATGAATTGAGATCCTACATCAAATCATATGCTCTTTTAGAATAATAATTACACATTGATTATGATTAAGGAGTTTTAATATTTTATTATCTAAAAAATCTAATATTTCTTTGTTATTAAATAGGGTAAAGTTCTTTTTTAATAATTCTTTCATGATCAGCACAATAATGTAAAATATGGCATTAATTTATAAGATGTTGATTACTATTACAACTAAAACAATTTAATTATAATTTAGAATATTCATTGTATACCAATTTATCTCTTACATCGCAGAATTTCTCGTAATCATTTGGAAAAGATTTCAAAAGAAACAAGAAGTTTTCTCTTTTTATTTTAAATACTTTTGTAAAACCTTTAGAAATAGCAGTAGCACTTCTTGAATTTCCAGTAAAGAAAGCAACTTCACCAAAACAATCATTTTAAGATAAACACTTTATAGTATTTTTCTTAATCAAGCTATCTTATTAATTTTTACCAGAAAATATTAATTCTACTTCACCTTTAGAAATAATATAAAGAGAACAATCATCAATTTAATTACAAGTTATAATTCTCTCTTCAGGTGAAAATGACATTTCCTCCATAGATTAAATTAAACTTTTCACAAATTGTTATGAAAATAATTTCATTATTACTTTACAATTCTTTAAAATATTTCCTCTTAATTCATATTATAAATCATCTTATAGATGTCTACTTAACTTTTTTGTTATAGATCCTATTTCATTTTCATTTCTTTCTTATTCTTCTTCCCAAATATATTCTAAATAACTTCTTATTTTTGTCTATAATTCAAAATTAATCTTATTTTTAGACATAAAATTATTTATTAGAGTTACTGATTTCCTATATTCCATATTACCTTTATATATATTTGATACAAATATCCCAATACTATTAACTGAATATGCAAATACAATACTGGCAACAAACATTGTAATATTATTGATAATTAATTCGCTATTATTTTTAGCAGTGATATCTCCATAACCAACTGTAGTCATTGTCATAGTAGCCCAATAAATAGAATAATTATATTTAGTTCCATTAGATTTATCTCTTAAATTGTAAGCATCTAGCCAAGAATAACTACTATCGTAATGACCAAAACCATGCCAAATACAACCACATATATGTGCTATAAATATTATTACCATTAATAGTTTCATTAATCCAACTAAATCATTCAATGAAGCATTCAAATTAAAGAATCTAAATTAATTATTACTCTCTTACTCTTAAATTTAAGCAAGTATTTTATTAATCTTTGTTATTCTTAAAATATAAAATATGGCACATAATATTATTTGAGTAATCAAAGTAACATTGTCTTCACTATCTAGACTAGGAATGAAAAATTGGGCAGAAACAGTGAAAAACGATACCATAAATTAAATTAAATACTTACTAAATCAACGAAAGCATACTGATTGAAATAATTTATTATAACTCTCTTCCTTTCTGTTATAATTTATCCTTTGAAAATAAAAGCCAAATTTAGACCAACCAAAACGTCTAAAGCTAAAATTGATAACAGTATTATCTCAAATATCTTAGTGTTTTCCATATCAAATAAGTCACTAATAAAATATATTTAAAATGATAATTTAAAGGGTAACCAAAAAAATATCATTATGTAGGTTATAATTTAGAATACATCCCAAATTACTATAAATTTACTATAAGGTGTGAATATTTCTATTGCTTACCAAAATGCCAATGAATTTATCAAAGATTTAGAGTTTTAACGCCCCAATGTAAAATATGAGTCCTATTCATATTATAAATCATCCAATTACGATATCTAATAATTTGATAAGTGATTTAATTTCTTAAGGTATGATCGATTCCACAAATTATCAATGAATTTTTTTTGCAGAGTTTTAGCAAGTATCAATCTCAAAAATTGGGGCTTTTTATTTTTTTAAAATTATCCATCCTCCTATTCATAAGGAGAGTAATATTCTGATCTTTTACGTTTCATTAATTTAATCTTGTCTATATTTTAAGGTATTTGATCATTAAAATTTTGGATTACGAATTGATCAGGACCTGTGAATGAACTGCTGCTGCCTTCTTGATTATCTCCTTATTATAGAACAACTTTATTGCTAAGAAGCTGAGGATTTGGCCCTTAGAATTCTCCATATTATAATTGACTTCTAAATAAACTATCAGAAGAATCACACATTTTAATTATTATTCATTATAATGTCTTTTCCAAATAGTAAAGCAGGTTTGGATTTCCTGTGTTACTTTTTCGTTTAAGAAGGCAATTTTTAAGTTCCTGCTTGATTTTACAATTCTAATCCAAGTTTTCTTAATTTATAGCCTTTCTTTATGGTCAGATTAAAGAAACTATAGATAGAAGATTCAGGAAATAGTCTTTTTTTTCCAAAAAATTTTTAAATTTTAGCATAACGTTTGAGGATGACATCGTAATTATTGATAGGGAAATAGTAATTGAAGATTTACATCTTATCAAAAAGTGCTCCTAACAAAGTACTTTAAATGGGATAACCATCTGTAAACTAACTATGATCTTTAAGTATTCTAGTAGTTTTAGATTTCTTTTTTGTTGTTTAACGATCTTAATATAAACTTAAAATAAAATACATGTTTTTTAAAATTATTCAGAACCTAATCTTTCTTCAGAAACTTCTTTAATAATGGTAATTCTTTTTTTGGATGTTTTAGGATTACTTTTAGTATCTCCTTGATGAGGTTTAATTTAGAAAGTGTTGATAAGTTTTTTAGATTCAGGAATAACTCCATCTATTTGAGGAGAATCAATAGATTATTATTTTTGTTATTTTAATAATGTAAAACCAGCAGTTTTAAATGTTTCATTAGTTGGTACAATATTTCTTTTCTTCTTAAATTATTTATTGTTATCCTCTTCTTCAATATCATTTTAATTCTAAGTAGCATTAATTGATTATGAATCATCTCTCATTAATACTTCATCTTGTTCTTCATCACTTGTTTAGTATATACTGTTTATTTCATCTACATTATCTTCTGATTCATTTTCAGTAATAGTATTAGAAAATGCATACTCTTTTGCTTTTTTAGTTAGTATATGTTATGTTATCCATGGATGTAGTTTATTAATAGAATTTCTTCTATAAATAGATTTTCTCTTTTAATTAATAGGAAAGTATTCTCTCTTTATAATTGATTCTTTGTCTGCACAATAATGATGAAAATGACATTCATTTATTAAATGTTAATCACTCTTACAACTATAACATTATATAACTGATGATACTGATTATTTCATCATTAATTAATCTTTTAATTAACAAAACTTCTCATAATCATTTGGAAACAATAATAATTCCTTTAATAATTACTCTCTCTTTATTTTAAATACTCTTACAAACCCTCTTGCAATTGCTGATGCATTTCTCAATTTACCAGTAATAAATGATATCTCTCCAAAGTAATCTCCCGTCTTTAACCATTATAAACTATTTTTTTATTATACATCTCCATTTTAGTTTATACCTTCAAATATTATCTCAACCTCCCCTTTTGATATAATATACAATGAATTATCATCCTATTAATTCAACTATAATTAGATATTACTCTATAAGTACCGTTATAATTCTCTCTTCTGGAGAAAAACTTTATTCCTCCATCATTAACAATAAATGTTATTTGAATTTCTATGAAAATGTCTTCGTTATTATTTTACACTAATTCAATATATTACCCTTCAATTAAAAATTCAATTCATCTTATAAATGACTACTTAATTTAGATACTATAGAACCTACCTCCTCTTCATTCATTTATTATTCCTCTTACCATATGTACTATAAATAACTTCGTATTCTTGTTTAAAGATCAAACTATATCTTATTTTTAGACATAAATGTATTTATCAATGTTACTGTATGATTATAATCTTATCTACTCTTATATAGATTAGATACAAATATTCCAATACTATTTACTGAATATGCAAAAACAATACTACCAATTAACATAGTTACATTATTTACAGCTGTTTCAATATTATTTTTTGCAGTTACATCTCCATATCCTACTGTTGTCATAGTCATTGTTGCCCAATAAATTGCTACATTGTACCTGACATATATTTCACTATTTCTTAATTGATAATAATCAATCCAATTTGGTTATAAATTAACATCAGCTATTCCATGCCAAACACATGCACAGATATGAATAATATATATAATAATTGTAATCATTTATACTAATGCTAGTAGATCATTAAGAGATCCATTCAAATTGAAAAATCTAACAATTAAAAATAATAATTCTTACTCCTAAATTAAAGCAAGGATCTTATCTATTTTATTAAGTCTTAATATATAAAAAACTATAGCAAAAACAACCAATAAAGCAATTGATTCATGTGAAGTATCATGCAAAAAGAAATGGAATGTCAAAACTGCTAATGAGACCAATATAATAAATAAAATAATACTAAATCGACAAAAGCATACTATCTTATATAATTTATGAAAATCTTTCTTCTATTTTTAATGATTTATCCTTTATATATAAATGCCATATTCATTCCAACCAAAACATCACATGATAAAAGAGTGAGTATAATGAATTCCATCTAATGATTGTCTTCTACATTCCAAAATTGACTGATCTAATTTATACCAAAGGATATTTTAAAAGGTAACCAAAAAAATATAAATAAATATAAAATGATCTATGACATATCCCAAAAGAAAATAAATTTACTGTAAGGTGTAAATATATACAAGCTATCATAAACAGATTCAGCAATGGTACTATTAAATTTTAAATCATCTATAGTTTTGATTTAATATTCTGTCAATTAATGCAATTTTCTTAGGTAAGACTTATTCCATAAATTAGTAATAAAGTTATTTTATAAGCTTTTAGCAATAATTAATTTGAGAAATTCAGGTTTACCATGATTTTAAGCTTCTTCTTCAAATACACTCTACTTAGCAGTTCCAGAAATTAATGTTTTCTTTATTTGATTTTTAATTGGATTATTTGGAGAAAGTTCGATAGGGACAGAATATGAATTCTGACTTTGGGGTTATAGAAAATCGCCATCTTAAATGCAAACATAATTAGACATTAAAACAGACTATGGGCCTTAAAATTATTATTCTAATATTAATTTGATGCATTACTTTCAAGTTAATCTGCCATTTAAATAAATAAATTAATGTAATTCAAATTAAAAATGGCAAGAGATAATTATTAATATTTTTAAATATAATTATAAAAATAATAATTTTAGTTAGAAATATAGATAATCATTCCATCCTCATCACTTGTTTATAATATATAATTCTGTATATTGTTTCTAAATATATATTAATAATTCTCCTCTAACACTTTTATCCTTAATAATGAGATTTTAATAGCCTACCTTGATTTCCATAACAAATTCATCTTAATCATTTTGAAAGATTATGTTTTTACTACTTTTTCGTATTTATCCTTATTAATTAAACTACCTTAATTACTTTCGATGTCAATATAAAATAGTTTCATAGACTTAGAATCGATAATTGAAGAAGCTACTTTATTGAAAACGTTATCCTACAATATCCTTTTATGGTTGGAATAGATATATAAATAATAGTTTAATAATTTTAGGAAAGATATATTTATTAATTGATCTTCAGAGTTTTTAAGAAATTTTTTAGGATTTTAAATTAATTAGGAAGTTATCTAATTCATAGGATTAAAATTATATTATATTTATTAGATTGTATAATTGTCCAAGAGTTTTAGTTATTTTTCATTTTATTTTTTATTATTGCTATTAAACAAATGAAATAAATATTTATGGAAAATGTCTTTAAAAAATTAGAAGTTAGGAACAATAATCAATAATTGAAAAGGGAATAATTTAATTATTTTTATTGAATTCAATTCCTAATTATTGTTAGCATTCTAATAAATTAATGTAGATATTTTATCCAATTTTAACATAGAAAATAAGTTGATAGATATTTGAAATGATTGGAAAAAGTATTTAAAAATAAGTTAGTAGAATTGAATGTATAATCATTATGATATTTAATTTAATTAACGATCATGCAGAGTCGAATTCAATAGTTATCTTAACTTCAACCTGATAAAAGAATTCTCAATTATGCTTTTAGTTAATAAGCTGTAATAGGACGAGGGTCTTATGGGATTGTATATGTTGGAATGAATATTGATACAAAGTATGTTGAAATTTAAATTAAAGTTAAGTTGTTGCTATTAAAGTTGTACCTTTGTAATGTGATTAACAATCTCTAAGAAAAGAAATAGATATAATGAAAGATTTGGATTGTCCAAATATAGTTAAATTATTAGATGTAGTTCAAACTCCAAATAATTGCTACATTATTAGTGAACTATGTACAAGTGGAGATTTGAGAGAATACATGAAAATACATGGATGTTTAAATGAATAATAAGCATTACCTATTTTGACATAGATTTTAAAAGGGATTTTATAATCATTCAAGAGAGGTATCATCCATAGAGACTTAAAGCCTGCAAATATTTTAATTACTTCTGAAAATATATTCAAGATAGCTGATTTTGGATTTGCCAAACGATTTTAACATTTAGAAGGGGATCTAATGAATTCAATGGCAGGAACTCCATTATATATGTCACCATAAGTGTTATTAAGAAAATAATACACTTCAAAATGTGATGTATGGAGTATAGGTTTAATCTATTATGAATTAATAGAGGGTAGAACTCCATGGAATGTCATGGATATTCTTGATTTAATTAATAAGCAAAGAAACACCAATATTAAATTTAGTATCTATTATTATATAATTAATCTTAGGTAAAAAGATATCATCTTTATCATAATAATTCATTTTAGGATGCTTATAATATGAAGAATCAAAACGTTTAGGATGGGAACAAGTATTTACTCATCCTCTATTTGACAATAAATTCATAATCAAAGAATAAGATTCAAAATCTTAAAAATCTCAACATTCAACCTCTTAAATTAAAAACGAATCAGATATTTCAATTATTAATACTAAATTGGTTGCAGTAAATTCGCCTCCACAAACCAAATCTCCTCTTTAAATTTATAATAAATCAAAAACCAATCAAAAGGAACTTTTATCAAAAGTCGATTCCCCTAAATAAGAGATTCGTTAATTGTTTAATCATAGTAAAACCATGATGATTCCGTAAACACTTAAAAAAGATCGCACTATTAGTATAGGCAATCAACCTTAGAGTACTAGAAATAGTGGCAATAAGATGTTTAATGAAAAAGGACTTGTAAGATAAAAAAGTGAAAATGATGAATTGTCAATTTAAAATAATAAACTAATCATTCAAAATTAGATTGAATTTTTATTATTATTGAAATAAATAAGAATTTAATTGTTAGATTATTAGTAAGTTACTATTCAACAAACTACTGTATATAAATTATAATTTATCATTTTGAAAAATATAATGATAAAAACAACTTATTTAAAAAATTGTTTAGTTGATGGAAATATAAACAATTTTGAGTTGAGAGATTTTGAAAACTTTAAATAAAGTGATACCTTTAAGAATATTGAAAAATAAATTTTAGAATTACATTTTGATAGTTTTAATAGTTTTTAAGAATGCTAATTGTTATTAAATGAGAATTACACTTTAATAATGAATGATTTAGAATTTATGGATATTTTTAATAATAACTTTGAATATTCAATATAGTTTTGTAACTTAGCCAAGCATTTAAGTCTGTAATTTATGAAATGTAATAAATATAAATTAATTTTAGAATATTTATATTAAATTATTTTGGGGTATGAAAATGCTAAGATTTAGTTATTTACTTTTTTATTGTGCAATTATGCAAAGTTTGTTGGAGAGTATAATTAGAATGTTGAGCAATTCTTAATCAATAGTAAGATGTAATTAAGTAGGAACGAATGCATAAACTATATTGAAAAAATATTATTTAATTGATTACTAATATTTATACAATAAATCAAAAATATCATCCAACCATAGATTTTAATTCTAAAAATATAAATTTACAATTTTTGTAATATTTATCATAATTTTAAGAATGGTATATTTTCGAATAGTTGTATTTTAATTACAGCATATTCAAATGTCCTTCTGATTACTTCTTCATTGAATAATTTCTCTTTTGCACCTACATTCAGAATTTAATGATAATCAAAGTTGATTGTAGAAATCAAGAGATTAATGAATCGTCATATTAAATCATCTTAAATATAATGAAAAATATTAGTAATTCTTAGGGTTCAAATAAAAGATTGCAAGATATTATTAAATAAGATAAATAAAAACTTTTTAATTTTAGTATATATATATATATTATAATAAAATAAATATTAAAAAGATAGATGGCAGAAGAAGATGATAGTATTTAAATATTGTTAATTAGATATTATTGCATTTGAGGAAGATGATGAAAATTAAGCTCCAAAGGTTTAAACGAAAATATCTACTAGATTTAAACATAAATAAGTGAGATAATAAGAAATAAACAATGAATAAGCTTAAGAGGTAAATGAAGATGGACCTGTAATTAACTTTACTAAATTATTCAAAACAAATAAAGAAGCAGGAACTGTGTAAGGATTGAAAGTTGATCAAACATATGTAAATCCAATGGCTAAATCTTTATTTCTTAATCCTGATGATAAATAAGATGATGATGATGATGACCCTGGTGTATTAAAATTAGAAGATCCTGAAGATCCTTAACCTCCATTAGAAGGGGATGTATTTATTAAATCAAAATCAAATCGTTCTTAAAAAAGCACTCCTAAGAATAATGAAAGTATTATGGATGTTATACAAAAATATGATGGAAAAAATATGGAAAATAGTCTAGAATTCTCTGTACATCCAATTGGAAAAGGAACTACAGAATAATTCCCTGCTAGTTAAGAGAATAGAGAGGAATTAATTGATACAATATTCAGTTAATAACTAAAAATAGGAATCCAATCTATTGATCCTTAAACTGACTTTTATGGAATTTCTATGTTTTCATAAAAAGGTAGTTTATTTTAAAATGCACTCAAAATGTCCTTAAAACGAGCTTTCATGACTCCTATTCTACCATTTATTATAATCATTACTATACTTGATTATACAATGACGTCAGTTAATGTAATTTTCTATCATTATTTATTAAGCAATTTTAATTCTTTATTATTTATATTCTGATACTTGCAACATTACCTACCATTTTATGGTATAAAGTATACAAATAGGAATTAGAATTAGAATTCAAATTTGATAGATCATTAATATCAGTATTTGATTTTGTATAAAAACGATTTACTACAAGAACTATTATTAGATTATTCCCTGGATGCATAGTATAACTTAAAAAAGGTGAAAGAGTACCTGCTCCTATGATTATTTTAAGTGCCGATGGTTAAGAACATGCTTAAGTTAATTTTGGAGATGATATTAAAACATTTAAAGTGGCTGCTCCCAAATTGCAAGAACCTGATCTTACTTATATTGATGGACAATTAGAATTCAATTAATTACCTATATTCTCTGAAAATACTAAAGCTAGATTAAGATTAGATCTAGTCGAACCTATTGATGTTCAATTAAATTAAGAATAATTAGTTAATGAAAATGGAATTGTAGAATCATCTTAATTAATTGGTGTTTTACTTCATTCTTCTTCACACCAAAAGTATTTAAGAGAAGCCTTATCATTCAATTTACCATTATATTTAAATCCTTTAAATTCAGAATTTTTTAGTATTGGAATAGCCATCATATTAGCTATCACATTCTCAATTGCAGGATCTATTTGGATTAGTAATAATAAAGATAAACACCTTTATATCAGAGAATAGAACAATTATAATTTTATATCTTTATTAATTGATAGATTAATAATCTTTAGCAACATTGTCCCTATATTTGTAGAAGTCTTTAGACCTATATTTTTATTGTTAGCAAGATAAAAAGTTAATGGTGATATTGGAATGGATCCTTAAAGATCTGGATTATTAACTAAATTAAATAGTTATGTTGCCTTAGATAATCTAGCAAATACTAAATTTATTAATTATGGTCAAGTTCTTAATGAATCAAAATTAAGAGTGGGCAAAGCTACTTTATTAGGAGGACCATAAGGAGATAAAAAAGATAATGAAAAAAAAGATGATGATATTAAATTACAAGGATATGAACCTAAACCAAATAAGGAAATTATGGATGATCAAATATAGGTTAATTAATCTACTGCTTTTGAATAAATTGATTTAGATTATGATGCATAATGTGATGATAAAGAAAGAAGTACTTTTCTATTTGAAAGAGCATTATTAACACTTCCATTTAAAACTTTGAATCCCATCTAATTAGCTATCCAAAAATATTGTCAATTAGGTGAGTGTGTACAATTTTCATACGATGATAACCAAAGAAGTATATTACTACCAAAAGAAATATTAAGAACATACTAAATAAAGTTGATTGTACATACTGAACAATGGGATGCTTATTTGTATGAAATGCCATTATTAGAAGAAAAGGATTTAGAATCAGATGAAGAAGAAGCATCAGATTTACAATAATTACAAGATAGAATAAAAAAGGATAGAGAACTCTTTGAAAAGATGAATAGCAAAAGTTATATTTGGGTATTATAGGCAGATATCGAAAGTACTTTATGTAAGGAGCATCCTCAATTATCATAATTTATGTAAGGAAAAGCTATTTTTGAGTATACCTTTTAAGAGTCAGAATTTTAAAGATTATAGAAATAGTTAGGATCATCAGCATTTAAAAGGAAGTATATTCAATTACCTCCTTTTGCAGAGGAATAACTAATGACTCAAATAAAACCTTGTGGAGTGTTTTAATTTTAAACAGTTGCCCATCACAATTTTCATTTACTTTTAGATATGAATTTAGCTATAATCAGATAATGGCTTTTCATAAAAGATATAGAAAGGGATCAAACACTATAATATTTGAAATAGTATATGGAATGTGTAGAATTTACAAAGGATGATTTACAAAATGAAATGACTAGTGTTAAAAGTCAAGCAGTCCCATTATTAAAATAATCAACAAGAGAATTCAAGGTTTTTGATAATTTATATAAGATAGATGATAAATTCATCACATTGATAATTAATCAAGATGTATTAGATTAAGCATTATCAGATGGATAATTAAGAACTTAATTTTATGAAGTAATTATGATAGCATCCTTTGTTGTCTTTCATGATCTTAATAAAGCATAGATTGATTAACTGATAACCTTTTAAAAAGATTAATCAAAAACTCAAGCAATTGTTTCTGTTGGTATCCATGATTAAGATTTATGCTTATGTAAAATAAACACAATTAGAGCAAGTGTATAATCTTAAACTGTTAAGAATCCATCATTATTTTCAGCCATGAGTCATATTGAATTGGTTAATTTAGATGGATTATCTAAACTTATTTTGACTCATTCTAGATAAACACATGTCAGAACAGCTGGATTCTTATTATTTATACTTTATAAAGGCTTCCTAATTACTATGTGTGAATTCTTCTTTTCATTTTTTAATGGTTACTCTAGTACACAACTTTTCACTACTAGTTTCCATTTTATGTTTTAAACATATTTCACACCACTCTATGGATTTCTAATCTTTTCATTTTATTCAGATGTTAATCATCGTGTTATTAGAATCTTTGCTAGTGAATTCATCAAATGCTAAAGAGATTACTTTTTCAACAAAAAGAAATTGTTCCTCATCTTCTTTGACTCTGTCTATCAAGGTTTTATTATTTTCTATTTACCTGCTACTGTAAAATAATTATAATCTATTTTTAGATATTATAATATGCTAATAACCAAGAAGGCATTATCGAAGGATTTTATTATATTTCTCTTGTCTCTTATTTGACTGTCCTTTTGACTACTCAAATGCAACCAATTCTCTATTTAAGCACTTTATCTAAAGAATAAATGTAAAATAATTTCTACTAAATATAGAGTTGTCATCATGTTTAACATTACATTATGCGTATTGATATTATTTACAACCTGTTCATCTGAGTCTTGGAGTACAAGCATTCCATAATATACTCATCATTTAGAATCAATTTTAGACAGTGTAAAGAGTGTCTTTATAATCATTTTCCTATCTTGCATTTCTTTGACTCCTACTATCATTCTTTAACAATTTGAGACAGTTTCTGATTCATAATTAATTAGAATGATTCATTATTATGAGGAGAAAGAAGATATTGAAGAAGAAGCAAAGCAAAAACCTTAAGAGCAAAAGTAAATATAAATATTAGATACCAAATAATTATAAAGTAAAGGGTTAGAATAATCAATAATGATAGAATAAACTAGTTAAGATTAAATTAATATGTCATAGGACCATTTAATACAAAAATGATTTATTAAACATTAAAAAATATTATTTATTATTCAATATTTCTAATCGGATATTATCAGTTCTATCAATAATATTGATAAAATACTTATTTTAATAAAGGATTATCGGAGATATAATTTAATAATAATTAGATAGTCTAATACAAGTAGATCATCAATAAAAGTATTAGATTAATAATTTGAATAATTTAAAGATAGATAATTGAAAAAAGACAAAAAAAAGAATGAAATTTTTAGAATTCTATTTATTATTAAATATAAATAAATGTTTCAATATATATAGATTAAGTAATTCAATTTTTAGAATCATCTAAATTTTTTGTTTCTTATAATCCTTAATAGATATGATTATTTTGAAATGAGTTATGATTATTTCTAGGTGTGATATATTCTCGAGCTGTTTCATGAATCTATATAGAAATATTATGTTACAGATTCCATTTCTGATATCATATTTAATATTTTTTATTAAGTCGGAAAATGAATTCCTTCTTTTTATTATACAAAATGAGCAGTAGCAGGTACAAATTAATGAAAAGGTTCTTCTAAATCATTTTAAATGATTGTATCAATTCTTTTAACATTTGAAATAGTTTATTCTAATAATCTTCTAAGAACTGCATTATTGCTAGCTGCAACTAAGATCTCTTATTTGTCCAATTCGCCATCGCCATTTGAATCACAATTCTTAATCATTTCCTTAATACTTTATCTTAATTGATATTTATCACTTTCAGAAACAATATTACATTTTAATACATTAAATATTTCTTTTTCACTAATTTTTCCTGATCCATCAAGATCGCATAAATCAAAAAAGACTTAATGTGTTACAAAATATTTTACTTTTTAATTTCTCTTCAATAGTATCATCTTTTAATACTTCTAAGCCAACAATTAATTCTTTATAATCAACTGTACCAGATTAATCTTCATCAAAAACATAAAATAATTTTTCGGCAAGGTTTCTATCTGCTCCTAATTAAACTGAATTTAAAAGTTCAGAAAATTCTTCTTTATTCATTCCTTCTTTTTTATCTTTAGCTTTTTGGATAATTTTTTAATAATTAGAAAAGATTTAATCAATTGCATCTTTTCGATTCAATAATATCCATTAAATAGTTTTCCATTTCATTTTAAATTTAGATTTAGGAGGAATCTTCTTTTTAAATTATGAAATGCTAAATCCTTAATCTTTTTTTTATTTATTTAACATAATGCTTATTGAACCATTTGGAACAGGTAAAGCTTATTAATGAGATTTAGGATTGATATGATATTTAGTGGCTCCACGAAGTTTCTTTTCATAGACAAATTTATAGATAGATTCTAATCGTAAATGCTAATTGGCAGTACTTCTATGTTTGAATCCTGAGTTACTTAGATAGATTACTCATAATATCTTCATCAAATGGTGTTTTAACAAGATCATCAAAAGTAAAACTATTTTCTGGTATTTTGCGATGAGTAGTAATCTAAAAAGACTTAATTTTATTTATAAATGGATGAGATCTTGGACTTTACATAGAAATCGGTGTTCTTTATGATAAGATAGCTGGAGTCGATAATTTTTCAATGGAATCAGGCAACTATAAATTTGAAGGTCTTTTATTTCTTAACATATAATATATATATATATATTTATCATAAATTTGTATCAACTTCTTATTATTATTTATCGATAGTTTCCTCATTTTATTTATCTACCTATTCAAATTTGATATCATCAATTTATTAGAGTTGTTTAACCTTATGTGATCTATTTAATACTATTCTTACTATTTAATTAGTAAAACTAATCTAATAATTTGGACAACATATCTTAACACCATGACAATTAATCCAATCACATCATCAATTATTGCAATGAATTCACTTGATTATTATAGAAGGATTATACTTATTGATAGAATAAAAGATAATTAGTAAAATAAGTATAATAATAAAAGATGCTAAATCCATGAGATTCCATTTATCCTTAAAGAAAAGCTTTACAAAATAAATTAATAATATACTTTATTTTCTGCAATAATTCTCAAAGTAATATCAATAAGGATTGCCAAGGTAAGTATAACTTCAGCTTAGACAACAATAGATTGATGTAAACTAAAGTAATTTATAAATGATAAAAGTACTTTCGGATTGGATCTGTTATAATCTAGTTGTATATATTTCATACATAGATCAAAAGGATTATAGATAAACTGACTTAAAAAATAGAAAAGAGAATGTAGAATTTACTCATTCTAATAGTTGTGATAATATGTTTGCAATTGTACATCCAATAATAATTCGTTTATATTATTTATAATAACATAAACTATGCAATCCGCCTATATTTCAACCAAATCTATTAAACATCATTACTCTATATAATAACTAAGAGCTCCAAAGACATCCCTCTCAACTATCTATTCAGTTCCTTGTATGAACTGTGAAAATCTTATACCAATTAATGAAATTGATAATCATACTATGAAATGTTTGAGTGTTTCAAAGAATGTTACAGCAGTACTTAAATCTAATAAACTATTGGATGAAATCAATTTTAAAATTTCCAAATTAAGAGAATCCATATTACAATTGAATAAAAAAGAATCTTAATAAGATAATATTAAGTATCTTAATAGAGCTGATGAAATGTCTGAATAAATCCTTACTATTCAAAACATTAATTCTATTGAACTGCGTAAGTTACAGGATCTTAATTAAGAATTAAAGACAATCACTGAATCATACAGAGGTTCTTTAGCTATTGCTCTTTATCTTGAACGTCTCCATTCTCTCGCTTTATAAAAGTAAACATAGCTTGAAAAAGATATGCGTACACCTAGAATAGATACTTAAAAATATAATCTTATCAATTCTAAAAATAATGACTACAACTCACAAAGTAATAACAACCCATTAAATAATTACAATTCTTAAAGTAATTTCAATTCATATAATACTAATTCATAAAGTAATTTAAATGTATATAATACTAATTCCAATCTATAAAGTAATAATAATTCATAAAATAATTACAATCTTTAAAACAATTACAATTCATAAAATAATTATGGTAGTGTTCAATCAGTTCGATAACATTAATAAAGTGAATACAATAGATCTTCATAATTACCTCCTCCATCTTAATTTTAAAGTCCTCTTTTAGGAAGACCAACAGTTATTACTAAATTTTCAGGAAGCCAAGATAGAAATGGATTAAATGATATGAAAAGTGAAATTCTTACAAAAATCTCAACATCATAATTCGATGAAAGTGAAATGAATCAAATGGAAAGTGATGTAAATATTTCGAATTAATACAATTAATAATAGAGAATCTTTTATTCAAAATGTTTAGCTTAAAAAACAAAATTACCAAATACACATCCTTCTTAAAAAATACCATTATGTATTTTACATAAAGAAATGATTTAGAGAAAGATTCCAAATGGAATATGGGATAAATTTATTATGGATGCTCTTAATAATCCTCATCAATATCTTGATATGAATAAAGTATAAAATACATAAGGATTCAAAAATTAACTTAGATCTATGACTTAAGAACACTAATTTAAATAAAGAATTCACAATATCTGAAGATTAATATGGATATTAATATATATTAATTAATATCATATATTATTTATTTAAATAAAATCCAAATGTAAGGAGCACCAGGTAATTAGTTATCTTTTAATTTAATCTGTAGAAGTCCCAAGAAGATTTAGATTGCTTGAAGAACTCTAAAATGGAGAAAAAGGTATCGGTGATGGAACTGTAAGCTATGGATTAGAAGATGGTATAATAAATATCTGATATTTGTAGCTGAAGATATGTAAATGACTAATTGGAATGGAACAATCCTTGGACCTTATAATGTAATATTTAATTTAATATCATAGACTGCATTTGAGAATAGAATCTATTCACTTAAAATAACTTGTGGTCCATAATATCCTAAGGTTGCTCCCCAAGTCAAATTTGTTACTAAAGTCAATCTTCCTTGTGTATAAGCAAATGGATAGGTATCTATTACTTACTTAATCAGATTGATATTAATAAATTTGGCATTTTAAAAAATTGGGTATCCAAAAATACTCTAGAAAACATCTTAACAGGATTAAAAAATGAAATGAGTTCCGCTGCTAACAAAAAATTATAATAACCACCTGATGGCCAAACCTATTGAGTTACAATAATCAATATATATATATATTATATATAAGTAAGGAAAGTTTATCATTATTATTATTCCTAAACATTTCTCTATCTTTTATGTTTTAATCTCATATGTAAATTTAATGAAACCATTGATCCATAATGTTTTTCACAATTCTTTACATAACACTTTAAATTATAATTATGAATTTAAACTTTATATTTCTTTTCTATCTGAATTGAAGTTCTTCTAACTCTCTTTACTTTAAACTTAACTTCTTATTATCTCAATTTCTATTCCAATCTTCTAGTTCTATTTTTTAATATATCCACTATCTATTTCATCTCCTTCATCTTCTCATTGTTTTTTTAATATATGTTCAACATCTCATGTAATTGTCTCTAATAGCATCTTTCTTTCCTTATGACACATTTTTTACATTCATCATATTCATTATACATCTATGTTTTATTTGAATTCTTTTAATCAATCCTTTCCTCTTCTAACTAATTTTTTTATGGTTCTCTATTTATTATATTTGTATTCTCACTTATAGTATCAGTTCTTATCAATATTACAATATAATACTTTTGATTTATGATAATTACTTTTTTTGTTACTTTTATTGATTTATTTTACATAATATATTTATTAAAATGTTTATATTTTTTATATTATCTAATTCAAACACTCTCTCCTATCTCTCCTATTACTTAAAATAAAATTATAAAACTCAACAAACCGTTTAATTTATATCTATCTTATATTATTTATTAAATTTAACACATAAATTTAATATTCATTATAACAATTTATAAATTTTATTATTTCAAATACGTTGCTCTGAAAATCCTATTACTACAGCATTTCAAATAATTTATAACCACATTTTTAGAACTAACTATTTCTTACTCCTTTTTTTTGTTATTTTATCTAATTAATATGAAATCCTAAACTAATGGACAATTGTATTCATATTATGATACTATGAGTTTAAAATAAAGTGCTTAAACATTAATTATTATAAATAATATGTTTGTCTAATATAAATCAAAATCCAAATGAAAAGATTTTTAATTTATAAGACAATCATATTAATTTAATGTCAATTTTTAGAGGATTTACAACATATGATTATGGAAGAGAATATTTTGTCTTTTTTATAAAAATAAGCTTTGAAATTTCATAGTAATGGTTCATAATTAGAAATGAATTAGAAAAAAAATTATAAGAAGAGAAAAAAAAACCATAAGACACTTTCGAAATGGAAACGGAATTTGGAGATTTCTTATGTTAATTTGAAAAATCAACAAGTAAATAATATTTATAAAATTAGAGTGCTATTTCATATTATTAAGCAATTCCAAAACTATAAAAGAGGAATAAAAGAAATTATTACAAGCTATAATTATAGAAATAAAAAAAAATCATAATTACGACAAAGTATGTTAATTTTATATAAAAAAATAAAAGTTAACAAGAGAAGAATTTCAAAAGAGTTTGAAATAAGAAATCTAGAACATCATAAGTAATGCTGAATAAGAATATATTCAGAAATATGGAAACTTAGATCCAATTATAACTAAAGAATTCTAATAATATAAGAAATATAGAAAAGATTTGGCTAAGGAAATAGAAATAAATGAGTAACAAAAGTTAATAACAATTGGATTAATAGAGAAAATGATAATCAAATAAAAAAGTAATTTAAAGATTGCTTAATAAAATCTTTTATTTAAAGGATTTATGATGTTAGATTATGTTCGATAGTATTTTTTTATGATGGTTAATAAAATGATATCTGTATAAAAGAAATGGATAGATGATCGAAATGCAATTTATAAATAAATTATGGATCATTAGCACAAACATTTAGACATTATTAAATTAAAAGGAGAAAATGGTTAATTTTATGCAAAATATCATAAAGAAAAAAGTAAGTTTATTTTTTTAATAATAAATATTAGAATGTTATTTCATTCTTTATTCAGGAGAATCGGTTAATATAGAATAATAACAAGAAGTGATTAATAAAATATATTTATTAATCACTCAAGTCGAATATATAAAAGTAGAATAAGTTATTAATTTAGATGACTAAAGAAGAAATTGAATTAAAATTTTTATCCTAAGTAAAAACAATTTTAGATTAAAGTGAAAAAATTCATACTGATTAAGTGATAATGAAAATTGAAGGAAAGAATAATAATTCTGAATAAAAATAGTTTAATGGAGGGGAATAAAATAATGCTGGATTGAAAAATCTATCTAAAAATAATTTAGTAAAGTAAGAGGAAAGTTATCCACTAATTTTATGATTATTATTTATATCTATAATAATTATCTATTTTAAATACTCTGAATACAATAAGGCTCATTTATTTACTTAAATGAAGTCTGTAATTTTAAAAAAATTATAATTATATAAATTATTTTTAGTCATAAAACTTTTATATGAAAAAGAGATTAAGGATATTTTGGATGAGAAATAAATAAAATCGAAAGATTATTTATAATTTGATGAGTAAAGAGAATTTATGAGAAGGTAATTATAATATAAGATAATGAAAAAGATTTTATAGTTATTTTGATGATAGAATACCAGCTCTTTTAGAATACTATAAGTATCATATAAATATTTCAAGACTTTCATTGTAAAATAATGAATAAAAGAATGAAAAACATTAGGGAGATATAGTATTGCAAATTAAAATGGAATTAGGTTTATTTGAAGAGATTAAGTAATAAACTCCATCTAAAGTAAAGTAAACTTCTGAAGATTGTTTAATTAGTAAACTTCAATATTTATTGAGAGATCTGAAAATGAATCTACAAAAATTGGCATTTCTAAAGTTAGTAATTCAACTGTACTGTACTTAAAGATTTAGTTAAAATGATTCTAGATATCAAAATTTATCCAAAATAATTTAAAATATTTAGAATAAATAAGTTTAAAAATTTTTAAAACCTATTATGGAAGTTTAAAGATTGGTATATTAAAATAATTAAGAAACTCTTAAAAATGACAGAGATGTAAATAAGATAAGTTTAATAATTAAAATCTCCTCCTTTAATGCAAAGAATAACAAAAACTGTTTTAACATCTAGATATACATCTACTTAAAAACAAAAATGTAAAATTGCAATTCAAATCATAACAAATAAAAGGAAGATCAAATTTGAATAGTTGTCAGGAATGTATAGATGAATATAAAAGTAAAATAAAAAGTTTAAGATCAAGATATTTGACTCTTAACTAAATATGTTTTTCAAATTAAGAGACATTAAAAATAAAAAAAAAACGATAGTGAAGATAATAAGAATCTATTCATTCTTTTTCAAAATATATCAAAATATATCTATGAATAATAAGAATTTTAATATTCATATTCAATTTCTTTGGGATGATTTTGGCTCTTCTTGTTTTGATACTTAATTTGAACTAAGAATATGACAATAGTTACTTTTTCGAAGATATCTACATAAGCATAGTTGTTCTATGTGGTAATTTTAGTTATAAATTAGGTTAAACAGACTAAAAAGATAAAAAGTATAAATACTTTCTTAACTTTTTATGTAAATCCTTTGATTTCATCTTTGATTTCATCAACCTTAGCTAATAATTCTTCATTTTATTTTTCATTTGAAATTGATCTTTCTCTTGAAGTTAATTAACTTATTGTTAATCTAGAATGATTAATAACCGAATTAATATTAGGATTTTAAGATGAATAATGTTATGAATTATTAATAGGGTTACTAATAGTAGAAATATTTTATTGTTATAATTATTAAAAACTATTATTTTATATGAAATTATGAGTTGATTTACTTACCTCTTATTAAGAAGATTATTATTATTAGGTATCAATATAAAGATCTAATTTTGAATTGGCTGGTATGAATATAGTATTGCATTCTAATTGTCTATCGTTAATTTAATTAATTTTATGTTCTTGGATTTAATCATTACTTTAAGGAAGTAATTAACTTGATTTTCGAATCATTTTTTTAATATTATTTCTGACTGATGAAACATCATTTTACTTAGTTGAAGAAGAGTGTTAAAGATTATTAATATTATTCTATAAATTAGAGAGACAGTTACTTGAATGCTACTTAACTTTTAAATGATATCATCTTATTGATTATTGTTGTTTAATTTAGAGTTATAAATTTACAGAAAAATGCCATCTTTTTGTGGGGATACTGATGATTGAGGAACATTTTAGTATTTATTTGGTAATTACAGATTTTTCTTATATAATAATATATCAAGCAAAAAGTACCTTAGTTTATTGGTTATGGAGGGATTTCAAATTTAGAATTTTATCTAACTCTAATTTCTTCTAATTATCTTTTAACTAATTGTTCAGCTTTAAGTTCTTCAATTTTGATTCGTTCTTATTCTTATTAAGATTATATTTATTTTTCTTATATTTATTTTAATAAATATGCTTTTAATCTTTATAATGATTTAACATTACTCTTGTTTTTTAATTTCTTTTTCAAGAATTAAGTTTGGGTTTTAATTGGGAGTTAAAAATTTGGCTTTGATATTATAAGCATTTTGTAATCTTTCAAATGATTTATTTAGTTCAATAGAGTTGTTTAATTTATAGGAAAGAGATCTGTCTCTATCTTATAAATAAATATTGTTATTTTTAGGTAGAGAGAGGTTTTATTAAACTCGATCTGAATAATTGTTTAAAGATTGATTCAGTTACTCTTTTTGATTGATGGATGGTGGAACTAAGGCTAATTGAAACAAGCTTCTTTATAAATTTTAGACAGATGAATGAGATGAATGTTGATTTAACATGTCTAAAATTATAAAGACATTTATATACTCTAGGCAGCAGCATAAAACATAGTTTTTTTTGGATTTGAACTTAAAGTATTCATAATAATATTAATAAGTTATAATTTAGAAATAATTCCTCATTCTAATTGAAATATACACTTTTATTATTTTTAAATTGTTTCATATCTACTTTTATATGTTTTTTATTTAAGATAGACATTACATTCAATCAATCATATGTTTTCTAATTCATCAATTCATCAATTTTTTTACAAAAATACTTAGAATTTTTGAGAATCATTTATTTTATCAGATTTATTGGCAACAATAATTTTAGGTAATTTATCTTAATCTACCTTTTGTAATTCAAGTATCTATTTATTCTATCTATATTAAAAGGTTTATATATCAATTCTTTTCATAAGGTTCTTGATTTGTTGAGTTCCAATATAGATATGTAAATTTAATACTATAATTAACATTTGAGTAGTTTTTAAAAAGGTTGTAGAGTATGTACATAATAAATAGAAAATCTATGTTATTTATAAGTAAGTATAATATTACTATCTGCAATTACAAGAATTTGAATTGATTAGGTTTCTTAATTAGAATTCATTATAAAATATTATGTTACTTTAGAATAGAATCTTTAACAATTAATTCGTAGTTTAAAGAAAACTATCAGCTGGTTCATTTGGAGTTGTTTTTGTAGGTTTAGATTAGAATAGTAAATAAGAAGTTGCTATAAAAGTAGAAAAAGAAGAAAATGAAGATGTTAGATCATTTGAAAGAGAAGTATAAATTTTCAAACATCTGGGTTAAATGGAAGGAATACCTAAATTAATATGGTCAGGAGAAGAATATGGATATAATATTTTAGTTATGCAAATGTTAGGAAATGATTTAGCTTATCATTTTAAACAGTTGAAACACTTTACACTTAAGACAGCAATACTAATTGCAATACAATTAATTGAAGTAATAGAAAAACTCCATTTCCAAGGAGTAATCCATAGAGATCTTAAACCAGAGAATATCATATTAGGTTAAGGTAAAGATAATGGTAAAATTTATTTACTTGATTTTGGAATCAGTAAAATATTCAAAGACTGTAATAACAAACATATGTAATAATAATTATTATATTGTAGTCCTTTTAGAGAAAATAGATCATTTTTAGGAACTACTAGATATGCTTCTATTGCTGCACATCTTGGTCATGAATTAGGTAGAAAAGATGATTTGGAATCAATGATGTATATCATCTTATACTTTATTAGAGGGTAAATCTTAATCTTTTATCAAGATAGCTACCTTGGTAAAATATGTAAAACGTTACTGATGATTAAAGAACTAAAAAAGTTGGTGAGGTTAAATTACTATTATAATCAGAAATATTTAGAGATTAACCTAAAGAATTTCAAAAAATATTTGAGTATTATTATTCCAATATCATTTAGTTACATACGTAAATTACCATTTTAAAGTGAACCTAATTATAAGATGATTGTTTTTGAATTAAAAAAGGCAGCTGAATCTTTAAAATTAAATCTTGATGGATTCTATGATTGGAGTGAAATTAGATAATCAACACATTTTGATTCAATAGTTCCTCATAATAGTATTGAAATGAAAAAATCTATTGAAAAATAATTATCAGGTATTTTTAATCAACAAAAGTATTCTATTTTATATTTATTTTTTAGTTCCAATTAATTTTTAGCTCCACCTCCATAATTTTCAAGTAGAAATAATCTTAATGGAAGAGAGGACAATAAAAAAACTACATTAGCTTCCTTTTAAGGTATTCTAAATATATAATATTATTTTTAGGTAGTCAATAATGTCTTTCAGTCAATCCATATTATTCATAATCTATTAAAAATTCAAGCTAAAATATAGACTATGAAACTGATTTAATTAGTTAATAGTTAAATGAATATCTTGGAGATAGAAGTTTATAACAAAAAAATAATAAACTTAATTCAATTCATAAATAGTACTTTTAATAAACTCATTTTTAGGTTTCGCTTATTAAATCAATATAATTAATGATATTAACCCTTTTTGTGATATTTTATCTTATTTTCTGTTTAATAATATTTATTTCATGTAATCATTAATTCTTAAATCAACTTTTATAAATGAAGAAATACATACTGAAAAAAAATAAGAAGAAGAAACTAAGTTATTACTCTTAATGGTATACTATTTATATTAACTTTTTAGAAAGTAGAAGATTTTCATAAAAAAATGTAAAAAGAAAGAAATGAATAATTATTTAAAAAAAATAGAGAAATTATTTTTATCCCTCCAATTTTATTAGATGATCAAATCTATCCTTATTTATTTAATGAGAATGATTTTGATAATGAAGAAATCTATCATATCAATAATTTAACTGAAATCGAATTAGAACTTCAAACATTTTACTTATAATAAATTTGAATATTCTAGTTCAAAATATATATTTTTAATTATTTTTAATTGATTTTATCACATCTTTTACTCAAATCTCTTGATTGCATTATAAATTTATACATCTAATAAACTTTCATGAGGTAATAATATCAATGCCTATCTGATTGCTCTAATTTATCTTTATAATTTTCTAGTTTCAAAAATTACAACAGCAAATAATATACCTGAAACTAATAATCCAAAAATTATATAATAGATTAAATAATTCTAATAATCTGTTTCTAAAATATCTACAGATGTTGATATTATGGTTGAATAAAATTCTACTATTGCTTTATTAAGATCAAAAAAATATGGCATCAATAATTATAAATTTTCAGCTGACTACAAAAAATTTATAATTTCATCAACATCACTTTCTAATTCTCCATTTAACTCTTTTACAAATTTACTTGAAAAAAGCGCTTAAATTCTAAAATATTTAAACTTAATTTTTACTCTTAATACAACCCATTAAATCCTTATTTTAAACGTTCTCTATTATTATTTATTTCAAAAGGCTACGGAAAATCTGGAAAATATTTAAATTTCCCATTCTAGTAATTGCAAAATGGTAATTAATCTCCAATATAATCACAAAGATCATCTTAATATAAACCTAACAATAAGTTTTTATTTTTAGCACTAATTTTTCTAGATGCAACTATATTATCATAAATTTAATTATATTATTCTTTTTACAAATTTAAACTAGTTTAAAACTGAACCAATAGAATTTTTATATTCTGCTAAAAAAATCCATTTGTTTTATTATATTCTGGATTTTAGAAGTAAATTTTACTTTTTTTCTATTATTCGCTTAATAAATTTTAATTCTTTACCAATTAACTTATAATCATACAACTATCAAATCTTTATTTAAATCTTACAAACTTCATACATAAATTTAATTCGGGCAATGAATCTATTATATTAATATTTTAGAATAAATAAGATGATAAAACATATGAAGTCAAAATAAACCATAAAAAAAATAACATTAAATATATATGCATTATGGAATATTGAGTCTCTTAAATTCTTTAATTTAATTTGGCTCTTTATTATGATTTTTATAATTTTTTATCAATTTAATGTTAATGAGTCAATTTTTGGATTTTTCTTAATTGAGATATTCTACAAGTAAAGAACTCTTTAAAATAATTAATTTATCTCCATTTACTAATTTCATTAACTAAAATATCTTTAAAAGACTTGTATTTTAATAATAATAATTCTACATCTTTTTCTTATACTCTACAAATCATAAGAAGTATATTTTATTTATAAATATATGGTTCTGTCCATAATTTAAATTAGAGCAATATAGCAATGATAATAATAATAAGTTGAACAAATAGAAATATCAGATATAAAAATTGGTAATTATCAATATTTGTAAAAAATTCAGTGACTATATTTTCTACAACATTTCCTACAAAATCAATTAAATTATTAAGATTAGCTTTCATGAATAACAATCGTACTTATTCATTAGTAATAGAGAGCTCATCATTTTGATCTAATAGTTTATCTAAGGCTTGAGTATATTCATTAACCATTTAATTGAATTACAAAAAGGAAATATTATAAGCTGAATATATAAATTGATTTACAATTAAGATTTCAGCTTGATTTAATTTTCCTTTTTATTCAAGGACTGAAAACTCTTTTTCTATTTCAACAATTAATTCTAATAATTGTACTCTTATTTAATCACTTTCCTATTAAATTCGATAGGCATAATAATCTCCATGATTAAAACCAAGTAATCTCATTTCTAAGTCTATTTATCCTAAAACTGTGAATGTACAATATAATCTATTAAATTTATCAGGTAATCTAACAAGAGGTATTTAATGTTACAAATTATTTGTATTACCTCTTGCAATAATTAATTAAAGAATGACAGATAAAAGTAATATAAGAAAGAGAAATGTTGTATTGAAAAATACTTTTATAAGTGTAGTTTAATATCTTTAGGTATATTGTAGATTTCTAAGTATATTGAATACAGACATTTAAGTTCTATCAGAAGTGGCACTAGATTAAGATTATTTTGCATTATCTTTAAATTCTAATTCTAATTCTTTATATTATTATATAACTTATTCTACATTCTATTTATTTTAATTTTACTAAGAACTACTTTTAGCAATTTCATATGCTTATTTTTAATCCTCATCATCTTCTTCTTCATCGTATTCCCTATTTATAAGTATTTCTTAATTTCCTCTTGGAGAAACTAATTATTATTACTATTAATTTTCATAAAGATATGATTATTTTTTTTAACTTTCATCTATATCTTGATTTGCAACTTAATTAATCTTATTAATTATTGGAGGATTAAAACTAATTGATTTATTAATACCTTCATAATCTAATTTAAAATCAGATTCATTAAAGGGATCACTTGAAACTGTTTTTTTCATTCGACTAAAGTAACTAGTTGAAGGATTATTAATCGATTTTTTCTTATTTACTTTTTCAATATCATAAATTTATAATATAAATTAAGAAAGAATATCACCACCTAAAACATTAAATTATAATTAAAATTTAATTGAATATTATGTATTTTAATCTAAGTATTTAGTTTAATTGAATTTTTACAAAAATTCATTAATAAATGATATGTTTTATTCTTTTAAAAAATGAATTGAATTAATATTAGCATATGTTAAGTAATTTTATTAATCAGTTTCATTTACTTCAGTAAAATAATTTTAAGATTCATGAATTTTAACAGTACTATTTATTTTTGTGTAATCATGATCTTAGCATAATAAATTGAAATTATTGATAGGACATATAATATGTGTTTTTGGAATTCCTCTAGTTAACAACTCTGATTATTATAAGAGTAATTACTTTTCTTAATAAATTTATTCAAATATATCCTAGAACCAAAAATATACATATCCTTTATTTAATAATTATTCTAAAGTAAATCCTTAACCTAAAATACCAAAGATTTATTCACTTATACCTAAAATCTTGCCTTGACGATCAAAAATAAGAAATTCTTAACTTTATTTGACTTTTTATAAAGCACCTGTAACAATGTAATCTGCTTCATTTTCAAACATATGAAGTAAACTAATATTGACAGGTTTAATAAAATTATTTTTCATTTTCACATAAACTTCTTTGGAATGTTCAATTAATAATGAATATCCTTTCTTCATATATCTTTGAATAATCTTATCATGAATCTGTTAAATATAAGTTGGCATCAATTGTTCAATATAAAGTATATTCTAAAAATCCTTTTCGTCCTTATATCCAAAGAATTCAGCCAATTGTCCTCTATTTCTATTTAAGATTAAACTTTTTTATTTTGCAAAACTTGTAGCAATCATTATCAATTCATTATTAAATATTGTTAAATTATTAACATCATCATTTTATACATTTCTTTCAAATTACATTATTTCATCTATACGTTATTCTATATCTAAAGTTGAATGATAATCATTTAATATGGCTGAATATAAAATTCCTAATAATTTTAATTCTAAAATATTGAAATGTGTTAATCTTGTTTATAATTTCATAGGTTAAATTTCAAACCAAGAAAAGAATGTATCTCTTAATTACCAAATCTTTTAACTTAAATTATAAGTACTCTAAGCAAAATCTTCAATTCTTTAATACCCTTTATCTAATTCAATCCAAAATTTTATTTTTGTATCCAATATTTAAATCATTAAACTTAAATTATCTTCATATAGTAATTCAGCCTTACGAATATCCGATAATTATAATTTCTTCTCTTTATCTCCACTTTAAATTCTTTTGTTTTTCTATGCCATTTTCTCTTGCAATATATTTGAAATAACTGTAAAATAAAAAGATTACTTCTTTGAATTGGTCATATAATGTTTTAATTCTATATAACCCAATTATGTTTTCTTACATTAATTTATGATATACATAATTTTATAAAGTTAAAGATTCTCCATTACTATCCAATCCTTTGTTTTTATTTATTCTATAACTAAATTCATAAGATTCAAAACTGTTTACTAAACTCTTTATAACAGATTCTCATTTTCAATACAAATACCATGTTTCTATTCAACATTCCATAATACAGAATATAAATATATTTAATTTGTTTTAGTCGAATTCAAAATATCTATTATTGCAAGCATCTTTTCTTAACTCATTTATGAATTATATACTAACTTATTAATCTATTGTCTATATAGTTATTTTATTATCAATACTAATAAAGGGGAAAGTATTAATATAAAGTAAAATACTTCTGTTTATGATATCTTAAAAGATACCAATTTTATAAGAGAAATAAAAAACATTAATGAAGTGGCATTCACATATTTTTAATTAATCTCATTACAATATGGTCTAATTATGAATGAGTCAATTAAAAATAACAAATTCATCAATATCAATAAGATTGATAAAATAAATTCATTCACTTAGGATTTCACAATCATTAATAATACAACATCAATTATTATTAGGACAAAATTAAAATAAGTATATCTTCTTAGAAATTCATTTTATTAAGGCAATAAATAATTCCTATTCACTAAGAAATAAAGAATGTAACAAATAAATATACCAAAATAATTTATGATACTTATAACGAAATCATCATATATTTGATTATTTAAGTGTTTAATTATTGGCATAAGTACTATTAATTAATAATAAGTAAAGAAGATTCTTAATGAATATTTCAATTATAACTTTGTAAATATTATTGTGATGATCATCCATAAATATATACAAATTATGTATGATAAAATTTTATTTAGATTTGAACTCTCTATTAGTTAGATTGGACTCTATAGAGTAAACCAATTTAATAATTGTTCCAATATTTGTAATTTAAAATCAACATATGGTTTTTCTGCAAATTTATCAATTTCGAATAATAAACTTATCCTTTGAAATGAAAAAATTATCATGATTACAGTATCATTAGTTTCTGTTTTACTTTCATTCATTAATTCAATAAAATTTCTTGATTTGCGTTTGAAATATTTTATGGGAAATAAGCAGTACATATTTTATTAATTATTTTATCATAATCATAATTGTTAAATTGGACCTATAATTAAGTTAGCAAAATTTGTAAGTATATTAAACATGCTATCATATAACACTCTAACTAATATATTTAATCTCATTTGAAATTACATATATCTTTAAGCTAACTATTTAAACTCAATTTATTTTGTTTTGTTTTCAAAAATATTATAACTAATAGAAGCAACATAATAAATAAATATAAAGTTCAATTGATTTTATAAATTACAATTCTCTAAAAGAAAAATTAAATTAGAATCAATAAATTATACCATTGCTCCCAGAATTAGATAAAGCTAATTTATTATTATTCTATTCAATCCTGAATATAAAAGTAATATTTTCAAATCTAATAATTAAGAAAATTAATTTAAATTAATAATCACTTAATTCTAATTATTCCCAAAAAACATCATATCTTTAAATTCTAATTTGTTAGAATTTTTTCTTCACTTAATAACAAAGAATAAAAATTAAATACAATATTAATTCTTTAATTCATTATTAAATTTAATCAAAAATAATGTTAACATACTGATACACTTCAAAAAACTTTAAAATTGAATTTTAGTTCTTTAAAAGTCTTCTGAATTTTATTAAATTTAACGAGATTTATATCAATATATTCAACATTTTTTCTAGATCTTAAAGTTTTTCTTAAGCTAAGATAGATTAAACCAGAATATTTAATCTTTCTAAAATCATCATAAAATTTTATTGCTGATAGATATACTCCAATAATAAATAAATGATAATCATAAGACTATTGGAGTTCTAATTAACCATCTCTAATCACTTTGAAGATATCTGATAGATATTTACCAGATATTGATATTAAAATATTGATTCTATCTAATAAACCAATTAAAATATAATAAGTAAATTTATAAACCTATTTGAAAAAAATTTAATATCTCTTAAATTCTTAATGAAATTTATAAATAAATGCTAATTGTTTTGATTAATCCTCTCTCTTTATCCAAATATAAAATGAAAATATCAAATCACTATCAAAATAATAATTAGCTAACACTCTTAAACAAATTACCATACTTAGTCAACCTTAAGAAAAACTTATACACTCCATGATTGAATAGAAATTGCCGAAACAACAAAATAAATTGAAATTTAGTATTTCTTAAAAAACAAAACTTTGATTATCCTTTTAATATTGATTAAATATATTCTAAAACTAATATATATACTGAATAAATTTTAATTAAAATAGATTCAAAAATTAGTGAAACTTTAAAAATAGATTAAAATGAAGAGTCAAAGAAAAGATTCTATTAAATCAATTTCACCTTCTATTCAATTAAATTATAAAAAAATAATATATAATCAATACTTAATACATAATAATCATAAATGAAATTGAATAATAATAATAATTTCATTTAAAAATTATTGATAATATAATTGAGAATAAGCATGTTTATAAGAAAGAAGAAATAATTTTGAACAATTTTTTAAGAATAATAATATTTTAGATTATATAATAGTTTAATGAAAATTAATTCTAATAATGTTTGATAAGGCTCATTTTAAAATAAAATTCAATAGAAAACTTTTAATAACTGATTTAAATAGTAGCTAAATAAAATCAAAAACATTATTTAAATAATTAACATAATCATTCTTGACTTTTATTTTGTTTTTATCATTCTATTTATTAAAATTATCATGAGTGATTAATATGGAATTTAGAAATCTCCATAATTATTAGGGGAACGCTTAGAAACACAAAGAGAAATTGATCATCAATTGAGAATGTCTTGTGTTAGAAAAAGTAGTTATTTGACTTCACGTTCAAAAAGTTTGGGATAAAGATTGCTTAATTTTGTAGGAAAATAAATCTCAGTTGATTATTAAGAACGATTGGTTCTTAAAACTCTCTAAGCAGATAATACTAAAGTGAAAAAAATCCTTGATATACTGCTTTCTCGTAAAAACAACTTAAAAAATTTTACAAATCAACATTTAAGCTATTTGAATGATAAAGCCATTGGAAATATTAGTTTTATACAAAAATAAACGTCGTTTAAAATTTTTATTGATAGGCTGTTAACTAAGAAAATTCTAAGAATTTTTAAACCTTTTGTAGATAATCTAACATAATATATAAAAGCTTTACCTTTATTAACTCCAGAAAGTACAAAAATTGTAATATGGGATATAATTGCAATTTTATCCAAATTGTACTTTTTGTACCTAATCCCATTAGAATTAGCATGGACAAACATACCATTACTTTATAGTAGGTATTATACATCAACTATAATTATGTTAATCATATTATCTATTGATTTTATAATTGGTTTTAATACAGCTTATTATAATGCAGGATCTTTGATAACTAATAGAATTTAGATATTTAAACATCATATTACAAAATCTTATGGATTAGAATGGATATCTACTATAATTTTGATAATATTATTCATAGCTTGTAAAACTACTGATACAATAATTAATGTGACATAGAACCCTATATACTTAGTTTTATTGAGTGTTTTATCTCATTAAATAAATGTACATTATAAAGCAAGTTAATATGAATCTGCATTAAATTTATCTAAAAAAGTATCAAGTTGTTTAGAATTACTAAAATTTTTACTTTTATTATTTTATGTAATTCATTTATTTTCTTGCTTATGGTTTTGGGTAATAAATTAAAGTATTTATTAAGGTTGGAAATTATAGTAAAGAAAACGATGAATTTACTTGGTTAGATACTTTAGAATATCTTCCAATAATTGATTGGACAGATGAATATTTGTAATCATTTTATTATGTTTGTGTGACAATGTTTACAGTTGGATATGGTGATATTACCCCCAAAAGTGGATTAGAAAAATCTATTTGTATAGTTCTAATCTTAATTTCAAGTATTTAACTTCCTTATTCCATTAATACAGTTGGGTCTATAATTGAAAAAATATCAGATTATGGTGAAGAAACAAAAAATAAATTGAGAACAATTAATAGTTATATGAATAAAAAGAAAGTACCATATAATTTACAAATTTAAATTAGATAATATTTAAATCATTATTGGACATCTTTATAAGGATAAGATACAGAAGAAGAGAAAGTAATAATCTCTCAGTTATCATTAAATTTAAGAGAATAACTCATTATTTAGGCAAATAGTAGAATATTTGCTAAAGTTACTCTATTAAAATAAAACTTTAGTCATTAATTACAATAAAAATTATTAAAAAAAGTTTAATAAATATAAATGTAACCAGAATAAATAATTGAATTAGATAATAATATTTAATGTTATTTTGTAGATGAAGGAGAAATCAATATTATAATTGAATCTGGAATGGTTGTTTAAAAAGCAAAAAAAGATGATGTTGTTGGATTGGATAACTTATTTTTAGGATTTCATAATAAAAATTAAAATATTAAAAGTATTGGATTTACTAAATTATTAATCTTATCTAGATAAGATTTCTTATAAGAATTGAAAGAATTTCCTAATGATTATGAAAAATTCTGTTCTATAAGGGATGATTTATTATTTAATTTTAAATCATCTTATATAAAAAAATAATGTGATTCTTGCTATCAATATGGACATGAAATTATTGATTGTTCAATGCTTCATTATGTACCTTAAAAAGATTTTTTAATTAAAAGAATTTAATATCCTTAATAATAAGGAAGATAAGAATTTTCAAGGAGATATTATAAATTATCTAGGATATTGCTTTAAGAATTAGAAAATCCTGATTTTAGTGAGAGCAAATAACAATTTTTGAAAAAATATTATTTACCTTAACCTGCAAATATTAATAGTAATAATATTAATAATCAATCATTTTTAAATAATTTTTAAGATGACATAAAAGAAAAACCTGAAATTAAAATTGATAATTTACAAGCTTCAACAACTTTAGCTTAAAAATAACCAACAAAAAGAGACTCTCTTTTATCTTATATACCTGACAATAATATTGATTAAATAAAAAGAAGCATAAATAATAACAAAAAAATTGGAGTTAATTAATCAAATAAAAAATAATAAGTAGATATATAATTAGACGGTATGGGATTACAAAGATAGAATAGTTTAGCATCTAGAAGGTAATCTCAAGGAATAAATCTCTTAAATATGTATTAACTTAGTTTAAATAATAATGCTTAAAAGTAAAACTATTTACAAGAATTAATTAATACTAATTATGAAATTAATTTTGATGATGAATTAAAATTACGCTATGAAAATTTAACATAAAATAAAAATATGAAAATTACTGATAAAGAAGCTATTGAACTATTATATTTGAAACAAAGTAACAAACAAAAATACCATAAAAAAGGTTTAATAGAGTTTGAAACTATTAAAAATTTCCATGATTATTTTCCATAACATAATGTTTCTATATCAATTAGTAGAGCAAATAAACCACAAAATGTTTAAATACAAACTTAAATTAAAAAATTTATGGGATATTTACTTTATCCGTCTGAATTTATCAGAAAATTTAAAATTTTTCAGTCGGATAATCTAAAAATTGGTATGATTACTGAAGAAGAGAATATGTGAAATTTATCATTCATTAAATTAAACATATCAAAATATATTTTATTAAGAATTTATAAATTTTTTATTTAAATCATAAAATTAATTAATATTTTATATAATTCATTTTTTAGTAAATAAATTATGAATCAAATATTTTATGGATATAAAATTTAGTTGAATATAATATTATTTAGAGTTTTTTGCCTTTTTCAAAATTATGGAAATTTCAATTCTCTTTATTGACTACAAAATCAAAATAAATTTAAATTATTTTTGAGCATAATTTCACTGCTTTCTTACTGAAGCATATTATATTTCGAAATAATTATAAATTCAAAAATGGTAGAGACATTAAAATTATTATAATTTTTTGTTGAATCTATTTAGACATTATATAAGAATTTCTTAAAATCTTTATCTCATACTTAGAGTCTAATCATAAAAATAAACAATCATTTTTGATAATAAATTTATTAAATTTGTTGAATTTTTCATTTTATCTTTTCTGACACTTCTTAAAGAGTAAAGAAAATTCATCATGATCAGAAAAATAAAATTATTGATTCATCAAACAAAAATAATTTTAAAAATTTTAAATAATAATATCTTAATTATCACAATGTATTGACAATAACATGCATCAGAAAATGATTTTATATCTTTCTAATTTATAAATCTTTACTATTATAATGAATAATAATCGATTACACATTTTGGAATAGATTATTTTATTAATTCACCAAAACATTTATAAAGAATAGAGCTCTAACTTATATAAATTTTATGTGTAAGAGATAATATTTATATTCTTTATTATTATTTTGATGATAAAAAAATATATTAAAAGTCTATAAAAATACTTACCAAAAATCTTAATTATTGGAATAAAAAATTTGATTAATAATTAAAAATGATAAAAAATAATATTCGGCCAAGAGCTTCAAGTGAAAGACTTGATAAATTAGCTGCTTTAGAAAATCAAACAAATCTTGAATGGATAATGAAAAACTCACAGGTGTTAGAATTAAAATCGAATATTAGAATGATTCCTAAAGATTCATTATAAATTAATATTCATGTTCCAGAACATGAAGGTGTAGCAACGATATGGGCAGATAAATGGTTCGGATAAAAAAAGATTTCTTAGTTTAGAGGCTTATTGATTTATGACAATCAATTTTGTCTTGTTTTAAACGATTGTTTTATTGAAAAGAAGAGATACTAATCGTCTCACTTTAGAGCATATTTTTTAAAGCTTATTAATCAAACTGGATAATTAGTATTAATATTTTCTCATCCATTATCACTAAAATAATGGAATAGTTGTATTAAAAAATTTTGCAAAAGAAATAATTTTTATAAGAAATTTAAAGTAGTAGAATTAGTGTGTTAAAATTTTTATTAAATTTAACATAAAAAGCAAAAATCGTTATTTACTTCATAGGTGATTAATTTAGCAAATATTCAAAATTATGACTAAGCAGAATTACTTGACAATTATTTAAAAATATTAAGAAATTCATCAATTAGTAATTACATTTAAACATTGGGTGTTTTTGAAGAAAAATAAATGTTATTTATAGTTTGCAAATATTTTAAGGGTAATTCACTTGATTAATTTTATAATTAAACAAAAAAAAATTTTTTAACTTAATAATAAATAGCAACAATTTGTGTATCAATTTTGATAGCACTTAAATCTCTATCAGATGAAGAATTATTTCATGGGAAAATATCATTTGAAAATATTGTTTGTTACAGCAATCTAAAAACACAATTTGGAGCATATTTAGTTAATTCAAATTATAAAGTAATTAAAATTATTACTTTAGTTTTACGATTCAAAAACACTTTCTAAGTATATTCAATCAATTCCAAATTATCTGATAGCACCTGAAATAAATTAAGGAATAAGTCCTTCAACTCAAACAGATATTTATTAATTAGGAGTGATTTTAGGTTTAATAACATTTTTTAATTTTACTTAGCCATTCAACATGGATTACTTTTAAATTTTATCATAATAATTAATGCAAATAATTATAGAATAAGAAAAATTGATATTAAAATAAAAATAATCTTAGGATTATCCATAATTATTTAGTATAAGCTAATTAGATTTAATAAAAAAAATGATTTAACCAAATCCTAACTTTAGGATAAGTATTAATGATGCATTAAAACATGTTTGGCTGATAAATAATAAAGAAAAGAAGATATCAAAGTTAATGACTAAATAAATGGCATTTCCTAGTTTAAGAACCATTATTGAAATAAGAGATAGTGAATGTGATATTAAGAAAACTATAAATAATTTTAATGATGAAAATAGCTCCTTTGTTAAATAAGGGTAAGATCCAAATTCTCTTTTTGTTTAAATAAAGTAAAATCAAAAAATCAATTCAGAAACCTTTGTAGATTCTAATGATGAAGATGAGAATTTATTGAATGACAAAATTGAAAAACTGAATTAGCAAAATTACTTAGTGCCTTCATTTAAGGAACATTTTGGCATGTATCGCTCACGATGCATTTGATTTATTTATTCTTTTTAATCATTTGATAATATCATTTATATATAAAATATCTAAGATGTGGATCAAAATTAAGTTCAAGTTTATTAGTTTGTGACAAATACAAATTTAGATATAGAACATATGATATTAGCTAAGGCGACTTAGACGATATGTAAATATATTTTTATGAATTATTTGATTAGTTAGAATATTCTGGTATGTTTTGAGAATCTCTTAAATTAAATTATGTATTTAAAGGAAGAAATTTTATATAATTCATAAATAATTATTTTTTAGATTGCACTTGATAATTGTTATGATGAAAACAAAAATTCATAAAACTGAATAAAATTTTGATATATTAAGGCTTTCCAATTCCAATTATGATAGTCCAATTAATTTAAGAGAATTGAATGACTCCATTGAAATATATTCAAATACTGAAGAAAAGAAGACTGAAAGAGAAATAGTGAAATACCTTAACAATTTAGGGATACAAACAAAAACCGACCCTGTTTTGAAAGAATAGGAATATTGGAGAATGAAAAGATTAGAAACTTAAAAAAAAATGTTATCAATTTTATGTTTAACTGAGCCAACTTAATCTCTAACACTGAACGGTTATGCATCTAAATTATTACATCAGAGAGTGTCTTAATCTTTTTTAGAAGCATAACTGATCAATAATACTTCTACTGTGGTTATAGAATGAACATTTTTTTTTTGTATTAACTTTCATTATAGTTTCATAATCAACTACGTTTTTTTATTTTATTATGTATTACACTTATTATAACAAAGAAATGATATTTTATAATATAAGATTTATCTAATGAATAAGAAATTAATTCATAAACAAATAAAATGATTGCTAAATATGAAATCGATTGATTAAACTAATGTTCATTTTAATTTAAGAAATTACTGATGTGTCAAATGTTTTTGGGTTTTTAAATATAAATAATATTTTATCGAATGAAACATTGTAATTTTGATATTAAATTTAGAGAATTCTAAACTAAAGTATTTATTAATAGTGTAATTCTGATTGGATAATAAATTATAATGATATTAGTAACAATATATATATATGAATATATAAATATATTAAAACATGATGAAATATGATTTGGAAAGCTCAACAACGACTCCAGATTTAATGGGAAGAAGAAACATTAATTAATAAATCCTTCGTAAATTAAGAAATTTGGTTGATCATATACCTTATTCTGATTAAGAAGTGCCAATAAATGATTAATATATATTAGAACTATTAGCAGTTTTAGTGAAGATATTCAATAGTGGATTAGATATGTTAGTATAGAATTTAGAAATGCTTAGCAAATTTAAAGTCCATAATTATCTGAGGTTCACAGTGGATTCTTCAATCATCTTTATCCTGTAATAGAGAATAGAAAGTCAACAAAATTCATATAGAAGTGCCTCAAATTCATCAAAGTAGACAGACTTAAAGCACCAATCTGGATTCTATTAGAATTGAATTCAAATACTCTTTTAGAATTTATATTATCTAATGACACAAAGGAGAAATATTAGAATAATGCATGTATAAAATCAGGAGACTTAGTTGATATATTAGATAGTTATTATTCCAAACATATTACTTTAATTGGAGATAAAATTTATGATCTTCCAACACCTTTGTATAGAGAATAAACTTAAACAAAGACATTCTTTCCTTAACCTCCAAATATATCAAATAATATGTAAGGAGATCTCTTTGAAAGATTTTAATAATTTGAAGATATTTAACCAATTAAACATGTATTTTCTTTAGATTGTGATGATTCAACAACTCATGCACCTACTCATAGAAAATAAGATATGGAAACACCAGATTTAAATTTTGGAAGTCCATTAATGGAATAAGATTCTATCAAAGGAGATGAATCAGATTAAGAATTACATAAGGCTTTACCTTAATATATATCATTTTAATGCAAAAAATCTACTAAATTATTAAGAGAATTAAGAGATAAATAAGTTGAAGAATATTGGAATTGCTAATAAACACCTATTAATAAATTTAATGGCTAATGTCATGCTTGTTCAACTTAAATTCAAAAAAGTCAATACTTCTTTTTTAAAGGAACTGCTTAATTTTGTCATTATAGTGGTTTATATTTTTGTAATTAATGTATTAGTCCTCAGTTAAGTGTCATTCCACATTTAATACTTAATTAATTTGATTTTACATAATAATAAGTAAGTAAAGAGGCTTATGATACTATAAAAAAAAATATGGAAAAAATCATCTTTTAAATCAATTATTTTGATAATGTTGTTTATAAGAATCAAATTTTATATGATTTTTTAATTAAAAAACGATCTCTAAGATTAATGTATGATTTGTTATGTCAAGACTTTAATTTTGATTTCAATTTCACATAAAATTACTCTCATTTAATATTACCTATCAATCTTTTTAGTCTTAAAAATTTCATTGAAATTAATAATAAAACTTTATTTAAAATCGTAAATGAAGCTTATGATTATGGCATAGATCATATATCTAAATGTCCATAATGTTAAAAATTAAGTGTAAAATGTGCTGAATGTTTAAAAGGTAATATATACATCTTTGACATTGTTGGAACTTAATATTGCAGAAAATGCAAAAAGATATTCCATAGATCATGTTTTTATGATAAATGTACTAAATGTGGACAAAACCAATATATTAACAGAAACAAATTACAACGTTGATTATTATAAAATATTATTTATAAATATAAACATGGAATTTACAAGTTCTGTAGTGAAGAAATATCAAATAGAAAATATCTTAAATGATGCAACTGGAATGTTAAAGAAGGTATTTTAAAATTAACCTAAAAGAATGGCAATAGAAAAGTTATTTTATTGTTAGATAAACATTTTATGAGTTATTCTTAGAATGATATTGCATCATTAAATATTTAGATTTGCAGAAGACTATTGAAGGCTGCATAAAATTTATTAATATAATACATATAAGGAGATAATTTTTCAAAAGTAGATTTATTACTTGATCGATGCAATTTATACATAGCTGTTTTCTATATCAATTTGTAAAAAAAGTTAAAAAATGAAAAAGGAATAGAACAATATGAAGAATTAAATACTGCATAGATTGAATTAAAAATTGGTCTTAATAGATTAAGATAAAGAATTCGATAAACTATATGTGTTCCTGGAAATTTAATAAAAGCAACACATTTAAATAGATTGAAAGAGAAAGATAAAAGTAAATATAACATATTTATACAAATAGTAAAATTTTATATTAATGAATGTTGGGTAGTATTATTAAGATAATTAATTATTTATGCTAAGATATTTAAATCTACAAATGAAGTTCCATAAAGCTTGAAGATGTTGTGTAAGATTGATTTATTTTTATCAATCAAAGAATTAAATAAAAGAAAAAACATTGAGATAATGAAAGTTTAAATTTAACATTATTAGAATTCAGGCTAATTATACTTTTAATTATATGAATTCAAATTATCCTTATAAAATTATGATCTTGCTTTATAAAGTTTATAAGATTTGATCTTTGCAATTTTAAAATAAAAAAAGATTCCAAATGTAATTGATGATGGGGATTTAAAACCAGTTGAATAATACATAATGAAGATGATAGTCATTCTGTATCTCTAATCATTATGTTATGAATATTTGTCTGAATATTCCCAAATGAAAGAATGCATACATTTATCATAATGGTTATGCACTGAAGTCTTAAGACTTGAAGATGAACATCAATTACATATCCTAATTTATAGTCGTTTTTAAGATATCTAAAAATATTTTGATACTATTTTAGCTGAATGTGAAATAAGACAGATCATCTTTTCATCTCTTTGTGATAATCATTAAACTGAAATGAAAGGCACATCAAATTAAATTTTAGAAGATTATCAAAAATTGTTAAATGATAAATTTTATTAAAAATTTAACTATTAGAAATTAAATAGATAATAATATTTCAAAATTAATCAGAATCCTGTTTAATCCTAACCTTATTTAATCTATTCAGTTCCAAAAAGTAATAGAACAGAAAGAGAAACTATTCAATAATAACTATCAAAATAATATTAATCATTTACAACTGAAGATTTAGCAGAATAAAATTCAAGAAAGTTTATTAATTTAGAAAGTGAATCTAAATTATTAAAACAAAATTCAATCTCTTCATTTTCTAGAAAAACAAGACCTACAGATTTTTCTTAATATTGCAAAACTGAATAATCAGATTATCCAAAACTTGATTAAGAATTAGCAAGTGTTATTATTAATTAATTAAAATAAGAAAAATCATTTTTTATGTTATCTGATGTTTAAAAGACTTGTTAAGATGAAATTTAACAAAATCATAGATAATAACAAGATTTTGAGTTAGGAAAAGCAATTCTTATGTTTAAAAAGAAATTTAGTAACAAATTCATTACTGAACCTAAAGAGATTGACTCATTAAAGTAATTAAATAATTAAATTAAAACTGAATTTTAATTAACTTCTGGCTATTTAGAAGCTTAAGAATAATTAAAAAAAAAAAAACAGAAATAAAAACTATTAGAATAATCATTATAATAAAAATCAAAAAAATCAAATCCTTTTAGAAAGTTATTAATAAAGCATAGTAATACTTTAGGATTGAAATTAATTAAGAAAAAGCTTTAGCATTTGGAAGAAGAATCAATTTTAATGAAAATGTATCAGCAAATTAATGATTAAAAAGAAGTGGAAAAATAATAACCAAAGGAAGAATAGATTCTAAGAAAAATGATTTAAACAAACTTAAATGTATAAATTATTAATATTTTTAAGGCAATTAAAGTTTTTATGGACGAAAATCAAAAATAATAAGAAACTGCTTAAAAATAATTAAGATAAAGGAGACCAGTCTCTTTATCAAACCCTAAACAATGTAGAAAAAATCCACATAACACCTCACTTCGAGATAATATGAAAGAGTTAGCAGGATCAACTTAATATTTAAGCACTAAAGGTTAATCTAAAAATATTATATCTTTGGCTGAGTTAACTAATTTAAAAAAAAAATTAAATTAAATTCAATTTAAAAGTCCAAACAGATTCTCATAATTATTTTAAAAATAAGAATGATTATCAAGAACTTAATTATTATCTTTTGAAATTATATAAGATTATAAAATTTAATTTTGCTATTAATATTAATATGAGTATCTTATTAAAGTAACGTATACGTAAAATTGATGATTAAATAACTCCAAAATTCATCTAAAATGTGAATCATACCTCTACTGTTGATATAAATAATTACAATAACATATGGATGTGGAAAAATAGTTAAGGGCCAAAAAAATAAAAAACTATTTTATGAAACTGAAATCTGATATTTTTAATGAAAAATGAAAGAATCTGATTCTTTTATGGATATCAATAACATGGACAGTGTAAATTTGAGAAAATCAGTAAAGACAAAGGAATAGCATATCTCTTTTTAATTTTCTCCTTTTTGACTTTGAACAGATTTAATTTTAACATTTATAATAATATATAATGCAGTAATAGTAAAAAGTGATGAGAATAACTTTGAAGATTTAGTGACAATGTTTGATTATGTAAAAGCATTTTGTTTAGTAAGATCAACATTTTTATTATTTGGTAGAGTAGGAGGTGGATTATTTACAAAGGCAGCAGATATAAGAGCAGATTTGGTAGGAAAAGTAGAAATGAATTTACCAGAAAATACTCAGTCCCAAAGTAATCCTTAATAATAAATAAAAAAGNGCTATTTAGAAGCTTAAGAATAATTAAAAAAAAAAAAACAGAAATAAAAACTATTAGAATAATCATTATAATAAAAATCAAAAAAATCAAATCCTTTTAGAAAGTTATTAATAAAGCATAGTAATACTTTAGGATTGAAATTAATTAAGAAAAAGCTTTAGCATTTGGAAGAAGAATCAATTTTAATGAAAATGTATCAGCAAATTAATGATTAAAAAGAAGTGGAAAAATAATAACCAAAGGAAGAATAGATTCTAAGAAAAATGATTTAAACAAACTTAAATGTATAAATTATTAATATTTTTAAGGCAATTAAAGTTTTTATGGACGAAAATCAAAAATAATAAGAAACTGCTTAAAAATAATTAAGATAAAGGAGACCAGTCTCTTTATCAAACCCTAAACAATGTAGAAAAAATCCACATAACACCTCACTTCGAGATAATATGAAAGAGTTAGCAGGATCAACTTAATATTTAAGCACTAAAGGTTAATCTAAAAATATTATATCTTTGGCTGAGTTAACTAATTTAAAAAAAAAATTAAATTAAATTCAATTTAAAAGTCCAAACAGATTCTCATAATTATTTTAAAAATAAGAATGATTATCAAGAACTTAATTATTATCTTTTGAAATTATATAAGATTATAAAATTTAATTTTGCTATTAATATTAATATGAGTATCTTATTAAAGTAACGTATACGTAAAATTGATGATTAAATAACTCCAAAATTCATCTAAAATGTGAATCATACCTCTACTGTTGATATAAATAATTACAATAACATATGGATGTGGAAAAATAGTTAAGGGCCAAAAAAATAAAAAACTATTTTATGAAACTGAAATCTGATATTTTTAATGAAAAATGAAAGAATCTGATTCTTTTATGGATATCAATAACATGGACAGTGTAAATTTGAGAAAATCAGTAAAGACAAAGGAATAGCATATCTCTTTTTAATTTTCTCCTTTTTGACTTTGAACAGATTTAATTTTAACATTTATAATAATATATAATGCAGTAATAGTAAAAAGTGATGAGAATAACTTTGAAGATTTAGTGACAATGTTTGATTATGTAAAAGCATTTTGTTTAGTAAGATCAACATTTTTATTATTTGGTAGAGTAGGAGGTGGATTATTTACAAAGGCAGCAGATATAAGAGCAGATTTGGTAGGAAAAGTAGAAATGAATTTACCAGAAAATACTCAGTCCCAAAGTAATCCTTAATAATAAATAAAAAAGAATCCTGCTACAATTACAGATAATGGATTGTTAATTTTTTATTAGAATTCACTGAGGGTAATAAAATAGTTATAAAATTTTTAAATTATCTTTATAGATTATAATATTATTACTTTGATAATTATAAAATTTTCTAAATTTTTCCTTTTTAAATATAAAAATTTTGGATAAAGACTAGATTTTTACTCATTTTCTTAATATTCTAATGGTCTTTTATTAGCAAAACATGCTAACTAAATTCTATTATTAATTTGAATATGATTAAAAATTAACAAAATTGAATTAGGATTAATTATAATTATCTTCTAACTGATATGGCCATCAATTTTAGCTCCTTCAGCAAATGGAAATTCATCACCTATTTTATAAGTCTATATTCTGGTTAAATATCCACCATAAAGTGATAATGAGACTAAAGCAACAGATCCAATAGCAGCAGTAATATTACCAGCTGCATTTAAGGTATCAGTAGATTCTCTAACATTTTCTCCGAATTCACTAATTTCAGCATTACCACCAGCATTATCAGATATAGGTCCATATGCATTAATACCTAATCCTATTGTGAGATTGCAAAGCATTCCTATAGCAGCTAAAGCAACTCTATAAAATAAAAGCATTTTTATCGATAACAATGCAGTGATAGCAGTTATCATAATAGGAACAATATAGATAATTTTCCCAAGGCTAATCCATAAATAATGTTTGTAGCAGCCCCAGTTCCACAAGATTTAGCAACCTCTCTAACAGGAGTATAAAAATTTGATGTAATGCATTCTATGAAATAGCCAATTAATAATCCAGACCCTAATCCCATTAAAGATCATAAGATAGCATTCCATGGTTTAAGTTATGCCAATTGAATAGATTTATCTACTGGAACCATATTCGAAGGTAAACACAAATATGTAAAACCTATGATAATTGGGGACAAAGCNGAACAGATTTAATTTTAACATTTATAATAATATATAATGCAGTAATAGTAAAAAGTGATGAGAATAACTTTGAAGATTTAGTGACAATGTTTGATTATGTAAAAGCATTTTGTTTAGTAAGATCAACATTTTTATTATTTGGTAGAGTAGGAGGTGGATTATTTACAAAGGCAGCAGATATAAGAGCAGATTTGGTAGGAAAAGTAGAAATGAATTTACCAGAAAATACTCAGTCCCAAAGTAATCCTTAATAATAAATAAAAAAGAATCCTGCTACAATTACAGATAATGGATTGTTAATTTTTTATTAGAATTCACTGAGGGTAATAAAATAGTTATAAAATTTTTAAATTATCTTTATAGATTATAATATTATTACTTTGATAATTATAAAATTTTCTAAATTTTTCCTTTTTAAATATAAAAATTTTGGATAAAGACTAGATTTTTACTCATTTTCTTAATATTCTAATGGTCTTTTATTAGCAAAACATGCTAACTAAATTCTATTATTAATTTGAATATGATTAAAAATTAACAAAATTGAATTAGGATTAATTATAATTATCTTCTAACTGATATGGCCATCAATTTTAGCTCCTTCAGCAAATGGAAATTCATCACCTATTTTATAAGTCTATATTCTGGTTAAATATCCACCATAAAGTGATAATGAGACTAAAGCAACAGATCCAATAGCAGCAGTAATATTACCAGCTGCATTTAAGGTATCAGTAGATTCTCTAACATTTTCTCCGAATTCACTAATTTCAGCATTACCACCAGCATTATCAGATATAGGTCCATATGCATTAATACCTAATCCTATTGTGAGATTGCAAAGCATTCCTATAGCAGCTAAAGCAACTCTATAAAATAAAAGCATTTTTATCGATAACAATGCAGTGATAGCAGTTATCATAATAGGAACAATATAGATAATTTTCCCAAGGCTAATCCATAAATAATGTTTGTAGCAGCCCCAGTTCCACAAGATTTAGCAACCTCTCTAACAGGAGTATAAAAATTTGATGTAATGCATTCTATGAAATAGCCAATTAATAATCCAGACCCTAATCCCATTAAAGATCATAAGATAGCATTCCATGGTTTAAGTTATGCCAATTGAATAGATTTATCTACTGGAACCATATTCGAAGGTAAACACAAATATGTAAAACCTATGATAATTGGGGACAAAGCTACAGTTGATAAAAATAATTAATGTTTCAATGTAGATTCAATTTTATTAAAGAGATTTACACCTACTGCAGTTGGATAATTCTGTGAACCTTATGCTGTTGCTAGACTATTGCCAGCTGCTTTGGTCAGTGGTGTGTAAATGGCCATTTCTGCTTTCAACACTTGGAGGAGCATAGGATAATGCAAAAAATATAATGAAGCTGGAGAAGTGAAATGATCTTATTACCCAAATTAATAAATTAAATTTTTATATATTATACTTTTTATGTATGCTTAAAATCACTTTTCTATTTTTTAAAAGAATGGTTCGATATCTTCATTTAATTATAAATAAACTTTCTTAAAATCTCTCTCTCTGTAACGACCTCCTTTTGGCGATCTCTTTATTGCTCCCATATAATTTATTGTATTCACTTTATCAACATTCAATCCATACACTTTATTTTAAACATTTTCTTTTACATTTTGTAAAATATTGCTTTATTTCAGGTTTATTTAATGAATATTTGTATGGCTACAATTTGAATACAACAACATTTTTCTCCAATTGCTTCTCTGCCCTATGTAATACAACAGATTAATCAAACAATCTTTCAACTGGTGTAGCTCTCTTGAAATTTGAAGTTGGTATAATCTTAATTCCTTTAGGATTTAAAAAATATTCCCTAAAATTCAGAATTTTTTGCATAATAATTATATTATATATTATTATATTAATTTTTAAACTCAATTGTAATTTTTATTTTTTAACTCCTCTCAATTTTTAAAAATCATCATAACATATTCCAAATTATTTCCTATATATTAACTTCAACATTACTATAAGGTTTAAAACTAATAAATTTCTTTATCTTAATGATAAAAAAATATGCCATCTTACATTAAGTTTCCATAATAAAAATAGTTTAATTATTTCTTTTATATGCATAAATCTCTTTCGGATAGAATTATGATTTATTTCTTTTCATCTTTTAACAATTTTTATTGAATTCAATAAATAAGCAAACAATTTTAATTGAATTCAATAAATACGCATTTTTATTATCTTACAGTTTTATAAGAAAACAATTTATTTCTATCTTCTAGAACTTCTATTTTTAGTTTACTCATATACATATTTTAATATTTTAACTTTAATTAAGCTGTTCACATTAAATATTTAACTTCTTTTATATTCAGGATCCAAATATTTATAATGGATATGATGCACGTTAAAAATTAATATAGTTATTCTTCATATTCTTTAGTAATTTTATAAATAAATGAAGCTTATATTTAAATAATTCTTTTAATATAATTTAATCATAGTCTCGTGAATCATTTAACCAAATGCTTTAAATCATATAATTACAATTTTACTATCATGCCTATAAATTTCTCAAAATATCTTTAAAATTTCAACATATATTGAAAATAATACACCCAGCGCATACATTCAAACTCTAAATCTAGAGCAGTTCAAAATTTTTTTTAATTAATCTTATCAAAAATAATATTTTTTCATTTTCAATATAGCCAATAAAAAGATAATTGATAATGATTATTTGAGATAGAAATATAAAAAAAATAAGTAAAATATATTCTAAGATATCATTGATCTAATTTATTAGTAGAGGCCTTTAATTGTAATACTAATTTTAATTAAACATCTTATTTATCTTAGTATAAATAAGAGTAATGGAAGCAAGACTGAGTTGATTTCAAGCGTAGATGAATCAACAGATTACTAATTTCATAGAGAAATGAAAAACATATTGGAAAATTTTCAACTAAATTTGCATAATTTGATGAATCACATTTCAATAAAACAGAAGACATATATAAAGGTTAAAATAGTTATTAATAATAAGGCTATTTTCACAAATGAATTAGACTAATAATGATTTTATCTTTTCTTCATTAATAGCGGAGAACCTATTTAATTTAATGAATTAGACAAATAATTTGAACAATAGTGTCTTGATTGATAAATTAAAAGGCATATTTTAATCAAACAAAATCTAATATGATAAGCAATCTATAATTCAAATAGTTAGAGTCTTGCCAATATTAATTTATGTTTGGGCAAGACCTATATAAAAAAAATAACAAGCAAAATTAGCCAGTCAGGTTCTAAGAAATAATTGCCAAGAGTGTAGATTTTAATAATAGGATTCTGTGTTATTTAAATTACATTCATAAACTAAGAGAGAATCAAGCTTTAATTAATTTTAATTAATTGTAGCATCATTAAGATTTATAGAGCATAAATGCTGTGTGACTTTTTTTTTTTTAAATAACATTTTAATTAAATTAACAAATCAATGGGATCTTGTTCCTCAAAAAAATTTCAAACACACAATTCCCTTACTAATTTTAGCTAAATCACTCGTGATCAGCCTTTCCCAAGAATGTCTTGGGCCGATAAATATATACAGTAACCATAAGAACAAATAATTCTGCCCTACGATCCTAACAGTTGATATTCATTTCTATTATTTAGGCTTAGAGTATTAGTATAATGTTGAAGTAGAAGGTGTAATATTTGATGTAATTGCTCCCCCTGACTTTCTAGATGATGATATTTTAGAGCCTATAGAAAATGATGAATGATTCTCTTAGTTCATTTTGCCAACTGATATTGCTATTCATATATCATATCCATATTAAACTTTTAACATCCTGGAGGTTTTACAGAAGAAATTCTAAAAATAAATTTTACAAAGCAAGTCACCTTTGCATAAATTTATTCTCAAAATATGAACAAATTCCACCATCATTGACTTTTTAATGTAATAGTAGGCATTAAGAATTAAGATCTGCCACTTTTTACAAGGCTTTTTCTCTCACTGATTCAGAATTTATAAATATATACACCTAATATCAAATATAAGTAGCCCTATGTATTCACAGTTATTATTAACAATTAAATAAATTGTAGTACTATATATCAAAATGAAACTTGATTGAGTTTTTAAATTTGCTTTAATCTTATTTTTTTAAGTTTTCTTTATTTATTACAAACAGAATAATTAATCTATTTTTAGATGGAAAATGATAATTATGCTTCTATCGATTTGTTTTAAATATCATTTAAGAAGAGGGTGAGAAAATTTTCTTTGAAATCAAATTGCCAATTAATAAGTTAATTTTTTATTATTTGAAAGAATATTCTTAATATTCTTTACTTTAATTAATGCTATAATAATTATTGGTTGTTATTTTGATTTATAATACTGAATATGATTTCGTTAATTTTCACTTAGGTATTTACTTTAAACTAATTTTATCCTAATAATATGTCTATAAATAAATTAAATTTTTTTTTTCTAAAACTGATCTATTTTATAAATACATTTAAATATCATATAGCATCATTTGCTAATGATTATTGAAGTATGTTTTTAATACATGGTATTTAAATTTAAAAAAAATAAAGATTATTAATTATAATATTTTTAACTTATAATTTATATGGTATAATTTTTAAATTTTAATTAGGTATTTTTCAACTTTATATATAATTGCTGAAGAAAGCTTCTGTTATATTCCATCTTGCCTCCATATTGTAAGTTAGACATTTTAGAATAAAATCTTTACATTCTTGAGATACTGTGGGTTTTTAAGGGAACTTAACTTAAAAAGAATTTAAAATAACTCTTTCCTAAAGAGAATCACTTTATTATTACTTGAGCAATTCGTTCTTGAGACATTCCTTCCCCAAAGGGTTTTCTTCCAAATACCATTTCAAAAAGAATTACTCCAATTGACCAGACATCTACTTTTGTACTAATTTGTATATTAGGCTATTCCATGAAACATTCTGGAGGTAAATACCAATAAGTTCCTAAACCTTATGAAGTTAACTCTTATCTTGTAGTATCTTAATCTAACACTTTACATAACCCAAAATCTGTTAATTTGACTTCTCCTTTGTGAAATAAAATATTTTGAGGTTTCAAATCATAATGAATAATTTTAGTTGGACTGCAACTCATATGATGTAAAGCTGCTAAAACTTGTCTCAATATCAATTTGGCTTCTTTCTCTTAAAGAATTTTATATTTCTTTAAATGTTAATTTAAATCAGTTCCATCGCAATATTCAAGAACAGTGCTTTTTCTTATTAATCATAAATATACCAAAAAGAGTCTTAATCAATTTCTTAAGTATCATACAGAGATACAATATTAACATGCTTTAATCTTTTATGAATATCATTTTCTCTCAAAGCATGTTTTATGTAATTATTTTTTGCATTTTCATTCCATTGAGGATTTAAATAATGTATTTTGCATGCACATAATCTGTATTCTTATAAATCGAATGCTTTATAAACTTCTGAAAATCCGCCTTTTCCTAATAAGCCTAAAGTTTAATATCTTTATGCTATCAATGGCCATCTAGGATCAGCTCGGTAATATCGGCAACTAAAGTTTGGATTCAAAATTACTTTTATTCTTCCATAAATCTTCTTGTTTTATAAGCTAATTATTATTTTTCTTCTTCTAATTTTATTAACTTTAATCTCACTTCTTCTTCTTCTTTTTTTAAAATACTTAATTAAAATTGAATTCTTAATTTTCTTTAATTTGCATCTAAATCTCCATTTACAAAATCTAATTCAAAAAGTTTATTTTATTTTTCCTTTTGATTTTTTGATGAAAATTTATCCTTTATTTCATTTTTCTATTTCTCTAATGAATTTCTTTCATTTTCTAACTTTTATAAAGTTTCTTTAACTTATTTAATTTCATATCCATCTTACCATTCTTCTACAAATCTTACATTGTTCCTAGAACTGACAAACTCACCTAACCTATACCTTTCCCTTTCTAAATATTCTCTCATTTTTTCCCGCTTTAATTCTTCAACTTATTTTAATGCTTCTGCAAATACATCTTAAGTACGCTTTTTAAAAGCATTATGTTATAAAATTAATTCTTAACGTTCACTTTCTAATTGTTATTTCTCTTATCTTAATTGTTTCTCAATTTGATCTTTTTCTTATAATTTCTATTACAACTTGCTGGCTTCTTCATCTAATGGTTTTAAACTGGTTTGTTAAATTATTTTAACCTCCTTTGATTTCATATAATTGGTTATATCATTAGAATTCATTTTTTATTTGCTTTCCTCTAAATTTTTCTATATTTAAGTTTTCCCTGAATTGCCCGCTTCATTACTAAAATCTTTTGTATTTTAAAAATATTTTTAGATCTTTTAACAATTTGGTAAATTAGTTTATGCTTAAGGCAGATTATCATTAGATGATTCTTCATCACTTTTAGATTTAGTATTAATTTTTTTTTTTGAAATTTCATTTTCATTTTTTCTTTTTTTCATTTATTTTTATCTATCTATTGAATTTTCAGCATTTAGATTAAAATAATTAGTAATCAGCTATTAACCAGAATTTGATTATTAAATTTCTTCTGACATTTTGAAGGATGTTTATAATTATTAAAATTAAAAAGTATAATTTTCACAATTATCTTTTGATATTCTGAATGTATAAATTAGATTGAATAGAAGTTTAGTTTTAATAAGATAGTGATTTAATAATAGTTAAAATAAATAAATAAAAATGAATTCAGAATTGATCCTTCCATTATATTCTGATACCTTCATACCAGACCCCTGATCTTGGAATATCTTTAACAACAAATACTCCATCTCCATGTTACTTTCCATTTTTCCAACTTCCCTTATATCTAGTATTTTCATCAATTATGAATTCTCCTTCTCCCTCCTTCAAATCATGTTTATAATAGCCTCTATATGACCTACCATCTGGCCATTTAAATTCTCCATATCCATGCATTTAATTATTTTCCCAAGCTCCTTCATATTCTTTACCATCACTCCATTTAAACTTTCCTTAGCCATGTATAAAATTACATTGAAATTCCCCTTTGTAACTACCTTTATTAAGATTTAAATACTAATTTTTATTTGAATAAAAACATTCACCTTCTCCATGTTTCATAGAATTTAGAAATTAACCTTTATATCTAGTATTATCTGGATATTCTTCAATTCCTTATCCTTCTTATTTATCTTCAATCCAATCACCCTCATATACAGTGCCATCATAATGTGTATATATACCAAAACCATGACATTTATCATCTAACCAATCTCCTACATAGACATCTCCGTTTTAATGAATCAATCTCCCTATACCACATACTTTATTATTTTACCAGAATCCCTCATAAACAGAACCATCAGGCCAAATTTATTTACCTTTTCCCCATTTCATTCCATTCTTCCATTAACCAATGTAAATGGCTCCATCAATTAATCTATGTGGTTCTAAAAATGGTAGTTTTTTATCTTCATCTGTAATTTAAAAATTCTTAGATCTTTTATGAGGATCTTCTGAATTAATATAATCATTATAACGAAATGGTCCCAATTTATATAAGGCCTTTTATACTGTTAAAGCATAATCAGTAGGAGTTTAACTAAGTTTTTAGGCAATCTCTGGTTTTGGATAATGAACAATAGGAGAATCTTCAACTTTAATCTTCATTTTATTATATAATTTTCTAGCCTTATATCCTTTATAATTCTTTTAAATTTAAACTGCATATTGATCATATTTAATATCTTCTTTAATAAATTCAGGAGGTGCAAGATTTTCAAATTTTCCATTTTAGTATTATGTGCAGCAAACACCCATTTTAATATTTGTTTTTATTGTTTAAATTTTAATTTATTTATATATATATATTTATATATATATTTATATCAATATTATCATATAATCTTGAAATATATTTTCAACTTATTAATTTCATTTTCATTAATTTATATAATTATTTCAATTATTCTATTCTTTTTATCCTATCATATCCTACAAACAATAGTTGATTCATCATCTCTTTCCTCTAATTTATTGACTTAAAAAGACATTCCATCTCTTCTTATTCATTTTCATCATTATCAGCACAAGTTTCACAATTCTCTACTCATGATTATCTAAAAACCTGAGCATTTAGCATATTTAACATAAGGCTTAAAAATCCTTTCCTATTCAAAAGATTCATTACATAATCCTTATGAATATTTAACAAAAATCAAAATATTCTCATTGCTTACACATAATTAACAAAATTATTATTTATTCATTTATCTTAATAATATTCATTTTGTAAATAATGATCTTTTTTAATCTTAAAACTTTATTTAATGTACTGCTTCTTCATCCAATCCCCAAACTTCTAACTCTTGTATTTAGAAATTTACTTCACTTGATAATACCTCATTATCAAAAGTTTCACTTGGATTAGATTCTCCTTTACTAAATGAACTATTTATAAATAAACCATATCTAATTTATAAATATAATTATCTTACTTATCTCCTGCACCAATACTAAATCCTGTCTCATCAGCCATTTGAAAACATCTATTTTTTTATGATCCCTTGAATATCCTTGTATGATTATATAAACAAATAAATAAAAAGGATTCCCCCTATCCAAAAAATTCATTCTTAGACAATCTCCAAGAACTCAATAAGAATCCTCCAAATACTTTCTTCCCTGAATCCTTAATCAAAATTACGTGAGGACCTGCATATTCTGTTCTTCTCAAAAATTCTTAATAAGAACTACCTACATATAAACATTTTATTACCATGTCTATTTATTGAAAATAATAAAAACCATGGTTTAGTTTATAAATAAGATGGCATACCATCTGCTATTTCTAATACTTATTTCATAGATACAATCCTACTCTCCTCACTTAAACTTACTTGAGCTTTCTCTTTAGTTTATTATTACTATCTAGTTTTACAAACTTCCATTGATCCAGTCTTCTCATTTATTTCCACATAATTGAAATTATAAACACTACTTAGACATTCTAAATTCTTCTCACCTTTTTTCACTCTTACATTAAATGAATCTCCAGTAACCTCATCATGTTCAAATTAAAGTTATTGTATTAGATAGGTAAATGCTTCCATTGTTATCATTCTCTTGCTCTTCCCTTTCATTTACCATAACTCTCTAACAAATGTTTTCACTGCTTTTGTTTCTCCCTTTATAGCTTTTAATTCAATCAGAAGTTTCTTTTAGTTTTCAGGCACTCTGTTACCACAGATACCCCAAATAATAATTTACATTAATTCAGCTATTGGATTGAAAATTATTTTGAAAATCTCATTTACATATATAGAAAAATTCAGATGATCCTCCTTACCTTTATGCTCCTTACTCAATTTCTTTGAGTTAACAGTGAAAATCAAATAATCATAGCAAATTTATATATTTCCCTATATATGCTCCCTATCCCACATATAAAGAATAGGAATTGAAATGTTAATTGATTTGAGTAAATCGCGTTATAATATACGCTTATTATCATATTCCAATAAAATTTCCTAACCGGGAATCAAATGACAATGATCTAATTTATTTGCTTTTTTCAATCTCCAAACATTGCAATTATTGAGAATAGCAAGGTCAATTAATGTTTAACCTGGTTAAGCAAAACATTTTTAATTACATTGCATTTTATATTTTATTTAATAATATGGATCCATTAACAAGGTACAAAATGAAATTAGAAAAAGATAAATAACATTTGCAAGAATATGAAAGAATTTAAAGAGAAAAAGAACAATAGAATGAGATGAAGTTAAAACAAAAAAATGACAAATATCAAAATATAAAAAAGTAACAAGAGAGACAAAAAGAAATAGCTCGACTCAAAGCTGATTTAAGAAGAAATCATGTAAATAGAACATTGTTTCAAAGTTAATAGATTGAGCAAGAAAAGTTGATTGTATATTAAATAATCTAGATTATTGGGGTATAAATAAAAAATAGCTAAAACATTGGATTCCTTAGAAAAGTATGAGAATGGATACCAAAAAGAATTTAAAACATCTTTATATAGAAAACTTTCTCATCATTCTCATTAAATTGAATTTGTATAATAGTAAAATTAGTAAATTATGGAAAATAAGATAAATAAAATCAATTAATCTTTAGAGCTTCGATTCAAAAAATCAGAAGATGTATTTATTTATAAATTGAGTTAAGGTGTTATCAAATTTGTCGAAACAAAATAGTGAAAGAAAAAAAAGCGAGAAAACAAAAGTTGAAAACTATTAGTAGTTGGTATAGAAGCATTAAGAAAGATAATAATAATTAAGAGACTAGAAAGCATAATTATTTGAAGAAAAATTAAATAAAGTTGAGAAACTTTAAAAATTAAAAGAATAATAATAAAGAGAAAAGTAATTACTAAGATTAGAAGCAGATAAATTAAAAGAAAAAATGAGCAATGAATTTGAATAAGAATTAGCAGTAAATAAAATAAATAATTTAGAAAATGAAATCTAAGTAAATAAAACTATTAAAAAACTGATCTTAAATTTATTCATAAATTATTAATCTTCTTGTTTTAATAAAAAATAGTTTTGAATATAAGATAATATCACTTATTAAACTATGTTCTTAACAAAATTAATTTAATGTTAAGTCTTTGTAGTAATAAAAATATAATAGAATTAGGTTATTAAAAAATGTAGAAACATTGAGATTTTTCTTTTTTGCAAACTATTAGATTGATAATTTTTTAATTTATTTTATAATATTTCTTTGTAATTTTAAATATCGTGAATAATAGTAAATTATTTAATTAACAGACAAATATTACGATGGATCAAAAATAAAAGGTACAATCGTTAATGAACAATTATGTAAAGAAGGAATTTAATAGATCAGGAGTGGTGAATGTAAAAGTTTACTTAAACAATGAATTATAACATTCAATCTCATTTCCAACTTTAAATCAAACTACATTAAATTTAGTGAATCATTTAAAAAATTTGTTAAACTCTCCATTAGTAGTTGGATTTTAAACATTAGATTAAAACATACCTTTGGATTTCTATTTAACACAGAATTAAGATATAGGATTTCTTACAAATTAGACAATTTAATTAAAACCATTACATGCAATATAATAGGGTCAAATCTCTTTGGAATCATTTTATTTTTTGTAATGTATAGGAGTAGGAGGTTTTTCAAGAGTTTATTTAGTAAGATGCAAATCAAATGGTCAATTTATGGCATTGAAAATGATTTCAAAGTAATTCATATAAGAACACGATAAGTTCTAAATAATTTAGAATGAAAGAAACATAATGGTTTCTTTAGCTGAATAAAGCAATTCGCATCCATTTTTATGTAAATTATTAAGTGTATTCGAAACAAAAAGTTGGGTTTGTTTTGCTTTAGAATATTGTCCTGGAGGAGAATTATTTTAATAATTAAAAAGAGTAAAGAGGATGGATGAATAATAGGCAAAATTTTATTTCAGTTAAGTTTGTTTGGCAATTCATCATTTACATGAAAATGGAATAATTTATAGGGATATAAAACCAGAGAATATTTTAATTGATTAAGATGGAAACATAAAATTAGCTGATTTTGGTTTAGCAAGACCTCATATGAAGGATGATTTCTTAGCCTTTTCTTTTTGTGGATCTCCAGAATATATGGCACCTGAAATGTTATTAAAATCAGGACATAATTATTAAATAGATCATTATTGTTTAGGAGCACTTCTTTATGAATTATTAACAGGTTTGCCCCCATATTATTCAAATAATCCAGAATAAATTTATAAAAATATTCTTTAACATGAATTAATACTACCAAACAAAAATTGTAGTGTTGAATCTAGAGATCTAATGTAGAAATTATTATAAAAAGATGTTTTAAATCGATTAGGAAAGGATTATGGAATTTATGAAATTCTTAAACATCCTTGGTTATCAGACAAATCTCTTTTTAAAATTCTTAATAGGCATTATGAACCACCATTCAAGCCAGATCTTATGAAAATGAATTTTGATATAAATGAAATTAATAGAGGAGAAAATAATTTTTAGAAAGATCTCTAAAAATCTTTAAACTCAGAAAATGAAAATTTCTTTTCACCTTTTTTTTAAAACTTCTACTATTCTTCAATTATACAAAAACCTTAAGCAAGATCAGCTTCAATAACTTAAATAAGCACATCTAATATTGATGATAAAATTAATACTTTATTAATTAATAGTAAGGCAAAGAATATTGTATAAACTCATACTACATCTTAACCAAATATACATTGTTAATTAAAATAAAAAAAGGTTTCTTAAGAAAGAAATTCTGATAATAACAAAGAAAATATAATGAAAAATTTTAGTTCTTTAATAACAAAAACTTGCAAGAAACATAAAAAAAATAATTAAAGTATGCCTGATTAAAGTTGTGCAGTTTCCTCTGAATTAAGATCACTTTCAAATTAAAAAATAATTGAAGCTTAAAAAGTACCATCAACATTTAATACTACTCTATTAAAATCTTAATTTACAGAAACTGATGATGATTCAAGTGTTAATAAAACACATAAAACTCTCTTTGGAGAAGCAAAAAGTTTAAATAAAAACTTCACTAATTAATGCACATTATTGAGATTTTTCAAATAATGAAATATTTCTATTTAAATTAAGCAAATTTTATTAAATTTATCTTTTAATAAATAATTTAAATTATTTCTATTATAATAATAATTTCAATTCTGTTTTCTTTTTGTCATTAATTGTTTGAGAGATTCTCCTTTATTTTATTTTTTTCTAGATTTTTATTTTCTGCAGTTTTAACTTTATCAGGAAATAAAGTTTTTTATATTCGCTTTGTTTCAGGATCATTAGAGAGTACCTTTATGTTAAATTTAATAAAAAAATTACAATCCAATCTTATTTTTCTTCCCCTTATTATTGACTACTATCAGAATCGTCTTCATTTCCATAATCCTGATTCTCTTCTTAATTTTTTTCATTAGGTCATTCTCCTACTATTACTATACAACAATACTTCATTATGATCTTAACTATGTATAATTTAGCTGTCTTGTTATTCTTTTGATTAATTAGATTAAAGCTTCCTCTTCTCTTCTTCTGCTTTCCTTTCTTCTTCAAGTTCCTATTATTTTCTCATGATTTCTTCTTCTTATTCTTATCTTTTTCTTCTATATATATCTTCCACATCGACATTAACTTTTAATTCTTTTGATAGTCCTGAATTTCTTAAGACTTCAATTTATGTAATCATTTGTATTCATTTTCTCCTTGACAAAATCAACAATCTTATTTGAAGTTGTTAAAGCTAATGCAAAAGTGCTTTTCAAATTTGCTATTCTTTTATCTTTTGCAGCATAGTAAGCCTTTTATCTTTACATTATTTAAATCTCTACTTCTTTCTATCTCATATTTTATTCTATTATATCAGATTCTTTAGCTTTAATTTATAACTATTAATCTTATTAATTTTCCTTTAATAAAAGCAATATAATTTGATTAATTTCAATAATAACTCTGACCTAATCTTTAATATCAACATCAAATATGTTTTTAATTATTTCTTTTCTGAAACAATTTCCTCAATTAACATAATTTGAAACGATTCCAATTTTTCAAATTCTTAAACGAAGTTTAAAACTCTCTCTTAGAATTTAAATTCTTATGAAAAGACATATTATTTTATGGCCTTCCATGCTAATATATTTTCATAATATCTTTATTCTTCTTCTGGTAAAGCATCTCTTTTTAATGACCTTGAATTAAGAAGTGGTTTCCTTCCACTGCATGAAAATATTCCTCCACTTTAAGGAGGAGTAGGTTAATTAAGAATAGATTCAGGTTAAAGTTGTACCTTTTCTACTTTCAATTTAAGTTCTTCTGCTAATTATATAGGACCTTTTTTTGCTTTAATTAAGCATCCAGCTATCCAATTAAAAATTATTCCACTCTTATTATCAGACTCTGGCAAATCTAATTTATCTATTTTTATTTTTTAATTTATTATAACTTAAAATTGACAATTATATTTCTTCCATTAATTTTACTAACTTTGCCTTCTATTTTTATTTCTCTAACACATTCCATTTCTTTTTATCTTCCTCCTATTTAATTTATTACTCCATCTATTTATACTCCTTTTAAGATGCAGCTAATTCTTGATCTAAATGAGTTGACATTTTGTATTACTAAATAAAATTGATCATCTTACTTCTAATAATTTTAAACCATCCAACGCCTAAGAATATAATTCTTCACTTTTCAATTAGATTTCTCTGTAATATGGATCCTTTTATAATTCGTTAACTTACTTCCCCATCTACATAATTCTTTATATTTTAGTTTAGATTTATATTCACATTATCAATTTCATTTTTTCTTCTTATACAAAAGTTGGCTGCTACATTAAACCTTTTTACTTCATCAATTTCATCTATAAATCTACACTCGGTTATTTAGATATGTTGCATTTCTTAATATAATTAATTTATATACTAATTTAGTCTTATTAGATTATTATTCTAATAAATTTCCAAAAAATATAAGCAAGTCTGTAAATGTACGAAGAAATCTGGTTAAGCATAAAAAAGAAATTACCAACAATTTTACAAGGTCTTTAACTTATCTTAATAAAACAATTACAAATCATGATTAAAAATAATTTCAAAAATATTACTATATAAATTATCTTAGTAAATTAAGTTTATTTTTAAATAATCAATCCAATTTTGAATACTCCTTTAACATGTGGAATCATGATTGTTATAGCAACAATAGTTAAACTAATAAAAACCATAATTAATGTCGTCTTATTTATATAATTGCAACTATCCAAACCAAGTTGAAAGTGTCGATGTTAAAGAAATTGAAAATATTACCATAAAAAAAAAATTAAAGATTAAACGTCTTCATTAGGAATTATAAATAATAAAAAATTACCCAAAAGAAAAGATGCAATTTGCAAAAAGACTTTACTATTTTGAAAAGATATTTGGACAAAAAATATCAGTAAGTAGAAGGTGTATCATAAGTATTTATTTTTTAAAATAAAATAATCAAGCTAATAAATTAAGAAAGAATTAATTTTTGTAACCATATTAGTTATGAGAGAAGAAAGGTAATAACATTTCTCCAGTTATAATCCAATAACATAATTATTAAGGGTATTGCTCATAATATATCCTCCAATCAATATAGAAAATTCTTATAAAACTTTGTATTAACTTACTTTTTAATAATGATCCATTGATAACACATCCATTAGGTAAATCTGTATTATGTCATAAATTTATAATTTTTAATAATATAGCAACTTGAATAAGTATAATAAAAGTTCTAAATGAATTGTATAATAAAAGGCAAAGCCCTTTGTTTAAGTTTTTGAAAGAAAAAATAATCATGAGACAAAATGCATTTTTGTTTCTGAGGGTCAACAGTGGTAAATAAAGGTATTATAAAGAATTTGCATATAAATGCAAATGTAATTATGCCCTAAGATTTCATATAAATAAATTCATAAATCTATTTCTTATTACATAACTTCTTATGATAAAGATTGCTCTTCGGATGAGGGAGGTAATCCTTAAACTTCTAGTTCACCATTTGGTAAAACAATGACTGATTTATCTGCAGTAAAATATAAGATATCCCTTATTCCTTTATACATCTATTCTTGAGTTAATTAAGAAGCTCCTTCAATAAAGAAATCCAAATCCTTGAATTTTTAAAAGTAATACTCTTTTTCTTATTTGAGAGTTTCAATTTAAATAAGTAAATCTTACATGGACGGTTACTTTTTTTAATACGGTTCCATATGAGCAAAAGAATTAGTTTTAGGAATACTTATTTGAGATTAGAGCTGATTTGGACTATTAAAAATATCCTTTTTTATGCTTGTTCTTGATCTCTCTGGATTCCTTTTGGGTACAATAGCTGGTTAATCATCTAATTCTGCATTTCCTCTTTTAGCTTAAGGATCATAATCTTTAGGTACAACATGTTAATCCATATATTTCTTTAACCATTATAGAAACTCTAAATTATCTTGATATTTGCATTTCGTTAATTTTTCAATTTCAATAGGCTTTTAAATTCCTAATTTAGAGAAAGCCTGCTAGAGTACTTTAAAATTGTTCACAAACTCATATTCCTGCTTGGCTTTCCAATTTATCTTATTCAAAACAACTAATCAGATTGATTAAACAAATACTTACCTTTACCAGGATGAACTGCATCAATTAATTAACAATAGACTGCACCAGTACCAAGCTATTCAATTTTTTAGAGTGAAAGTTTTAAGGTGTCATTAACCCATTATAATAATTCTGCTCTTGAAATTTCAGTATTCATATTAATGGGAAATAAAATACAAATCCAACTCAACTCCAAATTCTATTTTCCAAACCAAACTATCTAAGGTATATAATAAATCCATTAAAGGAATGGTTATAATAGAGGAATCTTAAGATAAGTTAAAGAATATCTCCTAGCTCTATATACATTTGTAAGGAGAGGAAGTATGGGAGAAAGGATTCGTTTGTATGGATTCAGATGATTCTAACATTTTCTATTCATAATTTAAGCTGCTTAAAGATATTAATGAGGAACGTAATCCAGAGGATTAGAAATTGAAAATCCAAAAAACGATTGCAATTCCATTCACATATACTTTACCTGATAATATACCAGGTTGTATGAGAAGAGAGAAAGGTTACAAATTAAGGATTACTTATTCTCTGTCCCTTATAGCTGAAACTTTAGAATTGTAAAGAATTAATCTTCTATAATTACCTATTGTTATTAACCAATATGCAAAGAAAAATAATATTGTTAAAAGTATTTCAAATAGTCGTGATATACGTGGATATTTAAATACATTTCAAGGAGTATTTACTTATAATCTTATTTAGATTTCAAAATTAGAATGCAAATATAGCGGAGAAGAATTTTCAATTGGAGATTCAATCAATTTAGAATTACTAATTGATCTGAGAGAAAGTAAATAGTATATTCAAGAAATTGTTATTTCCCTCAATAAAAGAACAACTATCAATGATAAAGAACCAAAAGTTATCATAGAATAAATTTAAAAATTTAGTTTACCTGGAATTGTCTAAGGAATTGTTTAAACAATCCAAAAATCAATAGTACTCTTCGATTTTTATAAAAAAATGGAACTTTCAACCACAGGATAATTAATTAAAATTGATTACTTAATCACAATCTAAGCCTATTCAACATTATTTAATTTTAATAATAATGATTTGAGAATAGATATCCCTATCAATTTATTCCAAAGAGTAATCAAATAAAATGATTTACAATTTCAAACCAACCAAGTTAGAGATTTATTCCATTTATATGATGTAAATAAATTAATTGTTGTTAGGTCGTAAGACTTTGAATAATAAAGTATTCATATTAAAAATTATTATATTAAATTATTTATAAAATATCTTATGGGCACTACATAATCTGGTATTTAAATTGCAGTTGATAAATTTTACTACACAAATGAATTATTATCTGGTATAAATTGAATCAATTTATAGGTAAAATTCTAATTGAAAAATCTAAAATCAAAAGCATTCTAACTATAACTGTACGTTTTATTGGTTAAGTCTCTTTATGGATTGAAGGCGATTAAGTTAAAAGAGAATTTTGTATCTACGAAAGTACTTTTAATCAAAATGATCTTCATCCTATAGAAAATAAGGCTGGAGTTGTTGAATTTGAGTTATTGCTTTCAAATAAACTTCCACCCTCTGTATATTACTAGTAATATAAATCAAGAGGAGGTTTATAATATACATTAGAAGTTGAATTCAATTCTGATAGTTTTTTCGAATTAGAAATAATTAGAAAAGAGATTGAAATTCGATAATAAATGCCAAAAGTTTAGGAATTTAGTATTGTCAAAGAATTAAGTCTAGAAACTATCTTTAGTAATTATGGAGTATTAATGATAACTTAAATAATAGACCCTAAGCATGGATGTTAAAGTGAATGAGTAATAATTTCATATAGGATAAACTGCTGAAGTTACAGTTTTTGCTGACAATACTCTTGGTTAAGTGGACATTGATTATATTACAGTTGAACACATATAAGAAATCTCAATCATGCCAGGTCATTTCTGGATTTCAGAAGTTTAATCTATCAATTCATAAGCTATAATAGGTGTTAAAGCTTTTCAAAAATATCAAAGTCCTATTAAAGTATTTTTAACTATAAATGATCCAAACTGTAAGCTTAAACCCAATTTACAACTTGGTTTTTTGAAAATTTAGAATTTTATACGGATAACAACACCTTTCAGTATATTTTAAAGGGACACTAAATTTCCACAAATACCAATTGAGATTTGTAAATTAGAAAGTAAATGCATGTATTAGGAACTAGAAATGATTGCTTAGGTCAAATTGCCTTAAGTAAACAAATTTAATTAATTTAGAAATTAATGTTACAACCAGTCCTATTAAAATTGGATGATTTAGATGAGGATTTCATCTAATTTAAGATTATAAGAGAGATCAAAAATTAAGTAAATCACATTCACAAATGATTTTTATCTCATTTTAAAATTTAATATTAAAATGCAATTAGATAGATCTTTATTAACTGCAGATATTGTAGGAGCTTAAACGAAACCAAGAAATACCCATCTCAATAGATTGTAGCCAAACTATTTGACTTTCGAAGAGCAATTAAGATTACAGTAAAAAAGAAAAACATGAAATAGAAATTAATTGCCTCAAGAAGAAATTAGATTTGGAAAAAGACAATATTAAAATGATTTTCATCATTTTTGTAATATATGCACACCTTAAGGAGAAGAATACTTTGATAGAAATGATAAAAAGTATTACTAAGCACCAAGAGCAAAAATATTATAGTTTAAGGTTTTAGAGAAATAATACTGTCATCCCAAGTATCGACTATTTTTGTATAAGGATAACCATAAAATGATAGACTTTTGAATACGAAAGACATCGATGGAGCAGTTCCTGGAAGTTTATAGAGTTAAGCAGTTCGGAATCAAGAGATAGCTAAGAAATTAAGATTAGAAAGAGAAATATAAAATAAGTCATGTAATAATTCTCAATTAGATGAATTGAAAAAAAATGAAGAAAATTATTAATCACATAGCAGCAGATAAAGATCAAATTCATTTTAAACAGGTCATTTAAATGTGAATATAAAGAATCAAATTTCAGAATAAATGAATTCTTTAAAACTTCCACCAATATAGGAGAGAATTTCAGATACTATTGATCATGTAGCAAATAAGCTTCAATTAAGATAGAATCGTAAAAGCTTTTAATTAGATGGGCTAGATTTTTTTTAAAAATAAGTCTAATTAAAATTGTATGCTTGAATTCTATATAAAAAATGAATATAATTTTATTTTAGATCATCATTATGAATTAAGGATCATGATGTAAGTAGACTTTGAATAATATTTTATGTATCAAGAACTGTTTAACAGGCTTCCTTCATGCCTTATATAACATCAAATTATAGAAATCCATGAGGCATCCATTTATATTCAGTAATTTTAATATCTCTTCCCAATCTAAATAAATTATTGGCTAATCTAAAACTCTCATCATGCAATGGGTCGTTAGTACCTAAAACAATCCTTGTTGGTGGAAATCTACTCAAAATGTCATCGCTTGCAATTGATGGTGAAATTAATGGATCTAATTTTGCATCAAATTGTTATGGAACATATGAAGAAATGCATAACTTCAAAACAGTATGATGCAATAATGGATCATTTAAAGAAATCAATAAACTTGGAGTGAATTATTTAATATCTAATAATAATGCTGGGTAAGCCATTAAAATTCCATCAGGAATTCTTGCACCAGATTTAATAATTTAAACTGTTAGTGCAGCCACTAAATTACCTCCTGCACTATCACCGACTAACACTACTTTGTTTGGTTTGATATTAAAATAACGATCAATATAGTTGATTATAAACATGTAAGCTTACCAGCAATCATCTAAGCCAAATGGATATGGGTTTTCTGGAGCTTTTCGATAGTCTATTGAAAATATTGGTACCATCAAATTTTTTGCCCACTTTCTTGTATAAGTTTAATGTGATCTTGATGACATACNATTATAGTTTAAGGTTTTAGAGAAATAATACTGTCATCCCAAGTATCGACTATTTTTGTATAAGGATAACCATAAAATGATAGACTTTTGAATACGAAAGACATCGATGGAGCAGTTCCTGGAAGTTTATAGAGTTAAGCAGTTCGGAATCAAGAGATAGCTAAGAAATTAAGATTAGAAAGAGAAATATAAAATAAGTCATGTAATAATTCTCAATTAGATGAATTGAAAAAAAATGAAGAAAATTATTAATCACATAGCAGCAGATAAAGATCAAATTCATTTTAAACAGGTCATTTAAATGTGAATATAAAGAATCAAATTTCAGAATAAATGAATTCTTTAAAACTTCCACCAATATAGGAGAGAATTTCAGATACTATTGATCATGTAGCAAATAAGCTTCAATTAAGATAGAATCGTAAAAGCTTTTAATTAGATGGGCTAGATTTTTTTTAAAAATAAGTCTAATTAAAATTGTATGCTTGAATTCTATATAAAAAATGAATATAATTTTATTTTAGATCATCATTATGAATTAAGGATCATGATGTAAGTAGACTTTGAATAATATTTTATGTATCAAGAACTGTTTAACAGGCTTCCTTCATGCCTTATATAACATCAAATTATAGAAATCCATGAGGCATCCATTTATATTCAGTAATTTTAATATCTCTTCCCAATCTAAATAAATTATTGGCTAATCTAAAACTCTCATCATGCAATGGGTCGTTAGTACCTAAAACAATCCTTGTTGGTGGAAATCTACTCAAAATGTCATCGCTTGCAATTGATGGTGAAATTAATGGATCTAATTTTGCATCAAATTGTTATGGAACATATGAAGAAATGCATAACTTCAAAACAGTATGATGCAATAATGGATCATTTAAAGAAATCAATAAACTTGGAGTGAATTATTTAATATCTAATAATAATGCTGGGTAAGCCATTAAAATTCCATCAGGAATTCTTGCACCAGATTTAATAATTTAAACTGTTAGTGCAGCCACTAAATTACCTCCTGCACTATCACCGACTAACACTACTTTGTTTGGTTTGATATTAAAATAACGATCAATATAGTTGATTATAAACATGTAAGCTTACCAGCAATCATCTAAGCCAAATGGATATGGGTTTTCTGGAGCTTTTCGATAGTCTATTGAAAATATTGGTACCATCAAATTTTTTGCCCACTTTCTTGTATAAGTTTAATGTGATCTTGATGACATACTTACAAATCCTCCTCCATGTATATGTATAATTATTTTATCAAATAATTTTTATCCTTGTATAAATTTTAGAGAATTTTAAAAAATACCAGTAGAATTAATCTCTTAAAGATTTTAATGACATAAAATTCTAACAGGTATCTTGTCTTTATTTTTTGTATACAATTCTTGGTATTTTGGTAAATTAGTATTTAAGCATTCTTCACAATCGTTTTAAATACGATTAATTTTATTTTCTCTATATTATAGAAGTATGTTGTCTTCTACTAATCTTTTAAATAGATATGGGATAAATATCTTTTAATTATAAGTTATATTTGGAAAAAGAAGGGGTAATAATGTACCAAGAAAACCGCTTTCTCCTAAATTCCAGGCTTTAAATGCTAAATTTTTATTTGGCTCTGCCATAAAATGATCCGCCTTTAATTTTGCATCCTTTTTGGCTACCAAATAATATAATGCACCAAATCCTTACATAAAATTTTTAGCAGCTTCATTATTAAATTCCGAGCCTTTTGAAATCATTGCATTAGCTAACAATAATCCTTCAGCTACTTTTCCATATGATTTTGAGATTTATTCTCTTGAACCCAAAAGAATTTCTTAAGTTACACTATTTAAGCCTTACCATCTATAATGTCCTCTTTCATAACAAAATAGATCATTGACATCTAGTTGTGCGGCACCAGGCAATTGTTCAAGACAAGTTTACAATTTGGATAAGTAAATTACTAAAGATCTCAATTCCTATTTTTCTCTTCGAAATTCTATTGTTTCAAACAGTACCTTTATATGTGAAAGGATATGAATAATAGTAAATTCTAATAATATGCATACTGCTTTCTCATTAAATCTCTTTTTATTAACATTTATATTATAATCTTGATTGATTGATTTACTCATAATGTCCTAATCATGAGAAATTAATCCAATTTGTTCAAGTTGCAAAATTCCAATAAATGTTATCTTTATAGCTTAAAAAAAACGTGGTTAAAAATCTTTTTCTGCAATAAGCCTTTTAGTTAAATCAACGGCATCCAAATGAAGCTTATTTAATAAATCGTAAGTCTCGCAAAGATTGCGATACAATTCTTTAGAAAAAGCTGCCTAGTTAAAAATGGGGCAATTCCAAATTTTATTTAGAACTTGCTATTGAGATTATTCAATATTTTCTTATAATTATTATTTTTCTTCTTTAACTTGATCTTCATTCCATTCTTATTGCATTTAGATTTATTACTCTTCTGTGCGTAATTCTAGACTGATATCCTAAGCTAAATTTGCCATATTCATACAAGACTTAATCTAATCTTCGATACTCTGCATTAAATAGTTTGTTATAATATATTATCAATAAATGTATCTGTCAATTGATTTATGGAAGATTAGGTAACGATTCGTATAGAATTAGAGACTTTGTGGAACAAATTCGAATAAGACTTCTTCCATAATCTGTTTTTCTTTTTGGTTTACTCAAATTCTGTATTCCGTATTTTTTTCGATTAATTGTACATATTCGTGGAAATTAGGAGGATTAGTTATTTACTATATTTTTTGTTTAGGTTCTATTTTAATTTGTTATTATTGAAATCTCAATGTTGATTAAGAATGTAATAGTTCTTTAACTTTTTTTGCCTTCTGAAACTCCAATCCCTTGATTTTGATTGTCAAGTTTTTCTCAATTTTGTTTTTCCATTATAAAATTAATTATAATTTATCATATATCTGATATTATAATCAAAATGAAAATAATAAAAAAAAATCCAATTATATGATTATATATAATAGCATGATATCAAACAAACTCTTTAACATTATTTTATAAATTTTATGTATTGCTTTTTAGCGAATTCTTTTTTCCATCATAGGTCCATTGTTCTATTTTGATTCTAATTCTTCATTCTTTAATTTGAATACGATTTTACTGATTATGATTTGGAGTTCATTTTTTCCCTCATAGGCTGTATCATTTTTCAAACTCATCAAAATATTAATAAAATGATCATAAACTCGAAGAGTTTATCTTTATTTTAGCTTTCCATAATTTTTAACAAATTTGATACGCAGTAAAAATAATTCAAGGCAATATCAAAATAATACCACCAATTCATTTCTAAATTAACAAAAGCAAAAGAGTATATTAAGAATTTTGTAATTAAATGAATATTTTTTGAATAGTTAAGAATTACAGCTAGTTATGTAAATTAAACCTAAATAATTTTTAAAACCTATCAATACCTTTTCTTCAAAATCTTTCAATTAATTTTTCCTTCTGTTAAAAAGAAATTATCAATTAGTAAGGTATTTAAATTATGCTTAGCATTTTTATAATATATTGAGTAAATATAATAATTATCTTCAGTCTAATTAAATAATATAAAAATACTTCTTTGTCGATTTCTTAGAATGATCTGCTTAGATACTTTTATTAGTTTTTTAATTCATAAACTAATCAATCAAATTTCCTTGAAGAAATAATGATTCATTTAGCAAGCATAAATTAAACATAATTTTTGATTAGATTTTCTATTTACTTTTTAATCTTTTCTCAAGCTCTTTCTATTGCGTAAAGTTTCTTAAATCTTAAATTTTAAGTATCGAATCATAGAGAATTTGTTGATAATATTCTAGTGAAAAATACCAAAAGTCCCTAAATCTTTCTATTATTAAGATGCTAAAAATGGATCTTAATATACTAATCCCAAGTATTTAATTAATTGGGAACCTTTATTAACATTCTACTAAATAACTTCTTTAGCGCTTCTTCATCAATTTAGTCGAGTAGTTTTGGCAGGAGTGAAATTCAAATTTTTCAATATTATCAAGCAAATACTTTTCACTCCTAAAAATATGTATACTATAAATCAAAGAGCATTTAATAGAAAATAACTCCTCATAACCATATATTTGCTCCATTGTCATATCTAATTCTTCCTCTACCTTTCAATATATCAAGTGCTTTTGTGTTAGATGTATCAACCTAGGTTACTCTAACTTCACCAACTTTGAGAAAACCTAAATCTGTAATTCTAATAAAGCTCTCATCTAACAAAATATTTTTAGTTTTAGGTCATGATGAATCATAAATATATCTTATAACCCTTTGAATCCGTTAAGCAATTATTTTAGAAATTCTTTTCCTTAATACCCAGAAAGAGATTACATATTCCTTTCTTAAAGTAGTAGCTCTATATAGAAATCTAAATCTCCTCCAATATAATGTTCCATAACCTAATAATGCTTATCTTTTATTTCTATATGATCAATTAGACTGATCACTTTGTTATTTACAATCATTTGTATAATTCTTTTTTCTGTTTAGAAGAATAATTATCTTTGTTTATTTTTTCTAAGTTTAATTTTATAGCTTGCTTAAGTGCTACTTGTTGTTTCTAGGGTTATTAAATCAATAAATTACTGTTTAGATTTCCCATCAAAATAAACTTCTTGAAAACTCTTCTTTTCTTATAATTTAAAAATTCCATATTTGCCTTCTAAAATTTATTAATATTTAGTTGCCATTAATTATTAATGTTTTTACCAATCAACACTCAAAGTACTCAATGATAGAAAATTTTAGGAACTTATTTGAATGTCAATGATTGCTTAGATGGATTAAAAGGATAGAAATTGCACGATATTTCGTTATAAATTACGTAAGCTAGAAATGAAATATTAAAATAAATGTAATAGTCCACAAATAGAAAGAGAGTGCTTGGAGAAGAAATGAGTTAAAATATTGATGAGTACTTAGAAGCTGTATAATAAAACCAAATTATAAGTTTAGAAACATTCAATTAGTAAAAGATTTCAAAAATAAGTCTTTAACTTGATAGATTCAAAAAGAATTGAATAAGAGTATGAACAACCAAAAATTGAATGTGTTGAAACGAATGAAGTTAAAAATGATTTCAAATAATTGCATGAATTGATTAAATCTTCATTTAATAAATGATAAGGAATTATATTTTAATTTAATTGTTTCTATATAATATTTTTATATTTTTGTATGAAAAAAGTAGAGTCAATCAACTAGATTGAAAAAGTTAATAAAACCAAAGAGATTTCATAGAATCCTGGTACAAATGTCTTAAATGATAAGTTTTTTTAATAAAATTATATTAGTGATCATTCAAATGCGATGGAAACTCCTGAAAAAAAAAAAAAGTTCAGCGTTGACAGAAGTTAGAAATAGCGTCAGAGTTCCTTCGAATAATTCAATCAAATCCAATTTCACGAGTAAAATAACTAATTTATTTTGTAGAGAAACATTCCCTTAAGACAACAATATTAATAATTCAAAAATGTCTGAATATTCATTAGAAAGTATTGAAAGAGAAGACATGATTGAAGATCGAGTAAATCGCCATACACTCCATAAATCTATTCATAACTATTAGAAATTAATATAATCAGCTTCACATTAACTGATTATGTAACAAAAACCAGAACCAGAACCTGAAAAGTAAGGAATAGCTATAAATCTTATGAATGCTTTCAATTAGCATCAAGAAGTATAAGCGGAATATTTTAATGATATTGAGTATGAGAAAATCATACGAAGACATAAAAAATTAATAGAAAGAAACACAATGAAAGATCCTTATTACGTTAGATTAGTGAAATTGTCAGAATTTTAAAGATTAAATTATGAGTTGCAAGTAAATTTTTTTTTTTATTTAGAAATATAATGACAATTTGGCTCTATTAAAACTGAGAAAAAGCTTTATTTATGTCATATATGGCATTCCAATAATGGCAAGAAAAATTGTAAACAATTTTATTTTTAAAATATTGATGACATTTCTTATCTTATTTAATGTGATATTGTATATTGTAGTTAAAACAAATGGAAGAACAGATACAGATCATATAGAAGAGGTAGTTACAATTTTATTTCTTTCTGAAATTGGATTAAGAATTATAGCAAGTGGAATCTTTTTTAATGATTATGCATTTTTTAGAAATATGGAAAATATTTATGATATTGTATTAATAGTTTTTACAGCTATGAATCTTTACTATCCAGAAATCATAATTATAGATATATCACCTTTAAGATTAGTAACTTTGTTAATGTATTTGACAAATATATTTCAGGGATTAAATGTAATGATGACAGCCTTAAAACAATCAGTAAAATATTTGATAGAAGCATTGATGATAGTGATTTTATTTTCATTGATATTTGCATCAATGGGAATATTTTTATTTTAGGGTTTATTTAATTATAGATGCTAATATGAAAATGGTGATGAGACAGATGGATGGATTCAATGTCATATAGATTAATGTCCAGATGGTATGAAATGTATGTATAGTGAATATACTCCAAAAATGCCAACTTCTTTCAATGATTTAATAGGTTCTTTGGGATAGATTTTAAGAACTATTACAATGGATGATTGGAGTTGGGTAATGTTTTTTACAATGAGAATATTTCATCCTTGGATTTGGTTGTATTATTTATTGATCATTTTTATTGGAGGTTTTTTTGGATTTAATATTGTTATTGCAGTTTTAAAAGTCCATTATGCAGAAGCTACAGAAGAAAATAAAAAAAGGGAAGAGGAAAAAGAAATTGAAAAAAGATTAAAAGAAGAAAATGAATATCCTGAAAGAAATTTATTAGAAATCTTAGATGTAGCACATTTGAGAGAAATTGGAATCTATAAAGTAATTAAAAGATATAGGATCCATTTAAATGAACCAACAATTAAAAAATTTATTATTGAAGATCCTAATAGCTTTAAAAAATCATATTAGACTACTAGAACTCTATCAGCTAAATAAAGATAATTGGAAAGCGGTATCATTAAATTACCATTTATCGAATATGTAACAAGTTTAACTTGGAAAAGGTTCCTTTTACCTAAGTTTGATATTTTAAATGCTCTAATTAAAAAAATAAAAACTAAAAATTATACTGAAGATGAATTCAATATTAAAGTTATTGAAAAACTTAAAACTATTCAATTTTCAAGACTTTAACCTTAAGTTAATCTATAAGTTAAGCAAAACTTTAATTCTTAAAATGATATATTACTAAAATTAATGTACTTATTATGTTAATATTTTTAGCGATTAATAATATTAAATTTAAAAAGAAAAAAACTTTAATTTAGAAAAGATAAGATCTTTAAAATTCAAAATGATTTATCATTAAATTAAAATTGAGAAAGAAAAACTATATGGCAAAACATAATTTGCAAAGTCTAGTTTCCCCACCAAGAGTAAGCCATAATTTTAATTTATGAGTAAGAATTAGAAAAAAATTGAGTAGAGCACAGATTCTATTGTTAACTTTGAGAGAAATGAAGGAAAATCATCAAATAAAATGAAAGCTTCATAAATTTTAGAAACTAAATATAGAAATTTCTCAATTTTTAGAAATGGATAACCTTATATTTTTGTTTAAGGATATTACACTAATTATGAAGGAGTTCAAGATAAAATTAATTAAAAAATCCCATCAATAATTCATAATTAAGTTTCCAACAAATTTAAATACTAAAGCATGAGAATGAAAGAATACTAAAATCATAAAACAATCTAAAAGCATAATTGGTCTGGTAAAGATGTACTTGAAATCAATAAAAATAGATTAAAATATTTTCAATTAGTTTTATTTATGCTTAATAAGGCTGATTTCATTATATGGATGAAAGGAATAAAGGGATTTTACATAATGTCTTAAAAATATGCATATTTAACTGTGACAAGCAGATTTAGTCAATTTTTCTTTGATTTAGTAATTCTTAATAATTTTACTTTCTTATCCCTTTAAGGAATAGTAGATATAAATATAATTTCAGTTGTTGAAGATATCTCAACAATGTTCTTATGTTGTGAATTAATGATGAGATTTTTTGGTTTTAAATTGAAAGATCTTATTAGATCTCCAGATTTAATTTTATAATCTACTATTGTAATAATTAATTTTTTTGAATTCACTATGAGTGATTATATGACAACATTTCTAAATGAACAAAATTTAAGATTAATTAGAGGAACAAAATGTTTATTATTTTATAGATGTTTAAAATATAATAAAATGGCTATTACTATAGGTCATATTGCATCTATGACTTTTGATTAATACATTTATTTAGCATTTTTGATGTTTTTAGTAATATTTATGTATGCATTAACAGGGATGGAAATGTTTGTTGGTAAGTTTGATTAAAATGATTCTCTTGGATAATTACATTCTTATGAAAATATTTTTAAATCATTTATGACAATCTTCAATATAATGACAAATGATGATTGGTATGGAGTATATGTAATTGGAAGTGATATTAATTTCACATTTTCAATTATCTATTCATTTTCTTTAGTACTAATTTTGAATTATTTAACTTATGGTTTAGTTATGGCTGTTTTATTGGATGGTTTTGGAAAATATTTAGATTAACCTATAGAAGAAATTCAAAATGAAATTTAGAAGAATATTAATGAATAATTATAGCATATAACATAAAATTCAGATGAAATATAGATGTAGTTAATGGAAAGTATTTAGGAGCAGCCAGTAATGACAAATAAAAATATTTAAAATGATGAAACAAATAAAAATAAACCTAATTTAATATATAATTTAATAAAATCTATAAGTATAAATTTAATTTAAGACTTTAGAATAAATTAATAGAAAACTTTTATTAAGAACGCCTCAATTATATGAAGGAATAGAATGCGAATCATCTTTATTTTTTTTTGAAAAAGATAATATATTTCGTATTGCTTTGACACATCTTACTACATCGATGGTATATATATATATAATGGATATAATAACATATCTTTCAATAATTGCTTTCATATTAAAAACTTATAATGATTATGAAGTAGACAGTGAAACATATCCAGACACTCTATAATTCTCTTGTAATATAATATAATTGGCAGATACTATATTTAATATAATAGCAAAGGGATTATTTATGGACTAAGGATCATATTTAGTATCTACATTTTAAGTTTTAGATTTTATATATTAAGTTTCTAATATTATAGCATTTGGTAGTAATCCTGAAGATTTTAAGCCTATTCTTAAAATCCTTTTATATTTAGGTTATTTCAGACCAATGAAATTAATGTATAGATTAAGTTGGCTTACAAATTTAAGAGAAGCTATTGGAAGATCATTATTTGATATACTTAATGTTTTAATAACTTTATTATCAGTTTGGATAATGTTTGGAGTATATGGAATAATACTATATGAATAATAATTTGGATATTGTGAAGACAAAATGGTTTTTGAAGTAAATAAGGAGACTTGTTTAAATGAAGGTAAAATTTGGGTGAATTATAAACATAATTTTGATAATATTACTATTGCTATTCCTACTTTATTTGTAACTGCAACTTTAGATGGTTGGGGAGAAATATATTAAGTTGCTGAAAATAGTTAAGTTGCAGAAATAGGTCCTTAAGGATTTAATTCATATGTAATAACATATATTTTCTTTTTACTTTTTGTTTTCATAGGATCAATGTTTTTTTTGAGTTTATTTACAGGAGTACTATATACAAACTTGAAGAAAAATTAGATGGAAATAGAAAAATCAGAACTCACTTAATCATAAAAAGAATTTAAAGATATTTCATCTATGTTAATAAAGGATTTTCCACAATTTTCAACTCCACCTACTCATGGAATAAGAAAAATTTCTTCTGATATTACAAGTAGTGTTACAATTTAAAAATGCTTATTTTTACTTTTATGGGTTGATTTTATAATATTATTAATGTTTACATCAGAAATGAATGAAGAATATTTTAGAGCAATTAATGATGTTCATAATGGATTAAGTGTTATATATTTTTTTTGGGTTTTATTATTATTTTTGGCTTTAGGAGTGAATAGATTTTTTGATAATTATTGGAGAAGATTTTATTTCTTTTTAATTGTAATAGCAATAATAGATTTTATAGCAGATTATTCAATTGATTGGATAATGATATATTATAAATCAACTCCAAATGATAAAGGATTTTAATTACTTCGATTATTCTTTTCTTTAAGAAGTTTAAGAATTATTTTAATATTTTAAGGATTTATAAATTTATAAAGATTAATAAATGTTATACTATTTGCTTTACCTTATTTAGGTAAAATATTTGCTATTTTAATAATCACAATGTTAGTTTTTGCTTTATTCGGTTGTTAATTATTTGGTACAATAGATGCTGGATAAGTATTAGATGATTAATTAAATTTTATGACAGCTGCCACTGCAATGATGACTTTATTTAAATGTGCTTCTGGTGATGATTGGAGAACAATAATGACTGATACTATGCATCATAATCCTTTATGTTGGGAAGATCCAAAATATTGTGGATCATTTGCAAGTTAAATATATTTCTTTTTATTTATGTTTTTTTCCACTTATGTATTATTAACTCTCTTTTTATTAAGTTTGATAGAATAATTTGAATCATTTTTCCAAATATAAGATTCACCAATTTAATCATATGTAGAAAATATTGATAAAATCAAAACAATATGGTGTAAATACTCATCAGAAACTTAAGGATAAACAATGCATTATAAATTTCTATGTAAATTTCTATTAGATATTGGAAAACCTTTAGGTGGAGGAGAAGAAGAAAATCTTTGGGATGTTGCTAAAATAGCTTCCTCATTTAAATTAAAATGGTATTTTATTATAATCTATTACTAGTGATCATTATGGCTACATTTAATACAATCAATTGATATATGAATTATTCAGAGTTAAATTTCATTCAGAAGTATTTAAAGATGGTACTCCTGATTCTATTAAATCAATTAAGTAATTTAGCAAAGAAATGTAATTACGTTTGATGTATTACAGAAAAAATAAAAATATTGAAAGATCAAATATTAGTGCTTCTCTTCAATTAAAAGCTAATTTTAATATTCTTCATGATTATCTAACTGTTTTAATTCTCTTTAAAACTTGGGAATCTTACAGTAAAGTACTAATCAAAAAATTAGCAATCAAACAAAAACAATTTTCTGATGATGCCATATCTATGGATAGTGAACTATAATAAAAGTATTTTTATTATTTTTTATTTAATTAGCAATAATCAAAATGTAAATCATTTAATTGAACCAGAAATGTTTGAAGCCTCTTGTGAAGAAGCTACATTTAATTTTAATTTAAAAATCAAAAAACACCACATTACAAACGAAAGTTAAAATCTATCAAATCTTGAATTACCTATATATAAAAGTGCATCTCCATAATCTATTCAGGATGAAGATATTAAAATTCTATTTTCTGCAGTTGGAGAAAAGCAACCTATCATGTGAAGATTAATTTTTTTTTCATTTTATTTTGTTTAATAGTTTATTAAGCATAACAGTTTTTTAAAATGTAGTATTTTTTTATATTTTAAAATATTGGGGAAGATCTATTTCATCATGAAATAAAAATTTAATGTAAAAATAATACGTAACATCATGAAATATATATTCGTCAATTAGAACACTAATTTTCAAAGTAAAATAAAATTAAAACATGGATAATGATTATTATGACTTTCTTGATCATTCATTAGATTATAAACCAAAAAAGAGAGGACAAAGAGGTAGCATCTCAAGGCATTTATTTTAGCTTTGACTGATTAAGAGATTATTGTAAGAGAAAGAATGAAACTTGTTAAAAATAGAGAATCAGCAAAAAATAGTCGTAAAAGAAAAAAAATGTATGTTGATCTTCTTGAAAATAAAGTAAGTTTTCTTTATAATTTATTGAGGTTGCTGGTTTAAATTAATAGTTACAAGAATACAAATAGTTATAAGAATAAAGTTAATCATTTTTAAGAAACACATAAGTTTAATTATTGTTCGGAAAATCACAAAATAAACAAGATTAATTGAATCATTATTTTCATGAAATATATGATCAAGCCATTCCTTAAATAGCTTTACATATGAAATAAACCAATTCAAATCCTGTATTAGAGTTGTGTTTTTAAAATTTTTATAAATGTTTCAATGATATGAATAATATCAAAGAAGAAATGATTTAAGAACTTAAATAAACAGAGGATACTATTAAAATAGCCAGAGATGTTCCAGAATTCTAAAAGTTCGTTGAACATGTTAACAAACTTGATTATAAGAATTAATTAGACAATATAGAAGAAGTAATTTGTAAATTTAATTTAGGATTTGGGAACTATTATTAAATCCAATGATTTAATGCTATCTGTTAAAGAAATTTATGAATTATACAATAAATCTTTTCAATTCTCTAAGAAACCCAAAATTAATTGAAAATATATTTATAAACACCAACCAACACATAACTTTTTTTTTATTTAGAAATCATAAATATATAATTTATAAATGAAAAATTCTATTTTAATTTTACAAAATTGTAAATTTATAGATTAACTTTTATATGAATTATCATAATTTTCATTTTTGATAAAATCTATACATCTTACATTGTAAATATCTATATTTTCTTATTTATTATTGTTTTAACTTGACATAAGTTAATCAAAATAAAACTATTATAGCATTTAAAGTAGAATAATAAATTTAATAAAGCCTATTTATCTGAAAAAATTAATATTTATTAATAAATTTTCTATATTAGTAAGATCAATGTTACAATAAATGAGATTCAATTTCCATTAACAGATTAGAAAAAATAAGATCGAAGATTAATTAAATGAAGCTAGAAAAAAATTCTATAACTATGGTGATAATTTCAATGATCAAATTATTTCGAACCAAAATTCTAGTTCTGATTTTTAGTTAAAAATTCTATTAGAACTTTAGAACATTGAAATGGAAATTTAAAATGATGAAAACTTCATTATAAGTTTAGCAAAATCAAGGTTTTTAGAGGAGATTGCTACACCTACATTAATATAAAATTTTAAAACAATAAATACAAGATTATTTGAGATATTTATAAAAATGATTGAATTTGCAAAAAGAAACAACTTATTTTGGATAACCCTATAATTTAGGCATTCGTAATTTTTAAACTGTCTATAATTTTTGGATAGAACAAAAGAGTTTTAAACTTTTATCAATTCTTTGATTTGATATTGATATAAATA